TAATCCTGGTGATTCATTAATAGTATTTTAATTATAAAGAAAAAAAACTTTTAACTTGCGCACTCCACAATCTTTAATTGAAGCGAATAGCGAGTCATTCAACAGTCCTGTTATTGTCGAAGGTACATCCTGTACATATTGTAAATTATAATTAAATTTGTAGTATCGGCTCGCGTATTAGCTTCACGTTTCTCCTCTCTAATCCATCGCCATTGTACGGGCGAAAATAATTGAAATGCATTCCTATCGCCGGCGTATCATCGAGTCCGGGTATTAAGTGACTTCATCTAACCCGTTCTGTTAAATATTACAACTGCGTGTTTCTAACTGACTTCTAACTGGAAGCGTAACATTCCAACGCGAACTCATTCCGGACAATCTATATATCTGGCCGTTTTTCATCTCTTTACCGGCCGATTAGATCGAACCAAATGAATGGGATCGATTTGTTTTTCCGCATTATTTGCATATGGTGGGTTTACGATACTCAAAAAGTACGGTGTTGCCGAATTGTTGGTTAATTCCGAGGTCTTCTTAAATCTCTCTAGCATTATTTTAATATATGCTCGTTGCTGCGGAGTCGCCTAAATGTTAGCCGTTCATAAATTCGCCATTAAAATTTACAGCGTTTGAAATTTAGAAGGTTAAACGCCGTTTAAGGTGCAACCTATTTAAATACAAATTAACTACAGGCGAATTGGCGGGATGTCGAAATTCTCCATCTCCACAACAACACTACGAGTTTTATTAAAATTTTATTGCACTCGTATTAACAATAATAAATGAATCGTTTCAGGTTGATTTTTTTCAACATTCTTGACCTTCTTGCCCATATTCCACGTACAACGAACAAAGATAGCGCGGCTTATCCGATATATTAGACAACATGAGAGAAAAACCTTCATAAGTGAACGAATGTACTTGACATAAAACAATGGCTTTCGTTCTCCTTATGTACCGTACGTTTCTCGTAAGCTCGCCAGCTTCTCTCTTAACGTGACAAGTGCTGAATAGAGATACGTTATTAATGCGATTCTCGCGATATTACGAAACCGAACGAACCCGTTAATTAATTTATCGGAATATTTTATATACTATTTTGCTCCGTTCGTTTTTTCGCCTAAATCCGCACGAATCGTTGCGAAATAAATTCTAATTAAGTTGGAGCATAATTAATAATACAATCGCCGCAGACCCACCATCAGAGGTCGATTCGTTAACGAGATAAGGAAATTGATGAAGATGATAATAATGGGAGATAATAATGACAGAGATGTAAATCGAAAAAACAAATTGGGATTGCCGAGCTAATCATGAAATTAGGAAATGAAATTAATCGATAGGTAAAGAGATGAGGAAAGAGGAAATTGGAAGTAATTGAGGAGAAGAATTAAAAATGTACACAGAAGTAGTTGAGAAATACAATAAAAATATACTTTTAGATAAGGGATTATTTAAGACTTTTAAAATTTTTTTCTACAGAAGAAATTAGAAATAAGTTTTACAAATTAGAATCCTGAATAAATCAATTAAATGTCTCATTAAAAGTGAGTTCAAATTGGAGAACAATGTGTACAAAGTTTGCTGTATTCGTGATGATATTGGGGATTTTGAGCTTGCTTTGTATGGCCTGTAATTGAAAAATGGAGTAAAGCAAGTGGAAGATGCGCGATGTGCCGTGAATGCGACTCTGTGTAAGTTATTAAAATAATTACGCATCGTTCTGTAATGTAATCATCGGATAATTGTCGGTTATTGGTTGTCGATATAATCTATATATATTTGCCTCGAGTAATTACCATAGTATGTACGGTAAAAAAGGGCATTATAGAGCTGTCCTACTGGCACAGTCAATCATTTTAAATTGAGTATTTCAATATGGGGTTTTTTTGTTCGCGTTCCTACATGGTCTCCCTTTCGTTATTAAGCAAACCGAAAGGACGGTGCAAAAAAGGAATATTAATAATAATTCGAGAGCAAAAAGCGCCGATGCCCTCTTGGAAAAATAAAATCGCTGGCAAAAAAGCCGTTTTTATAATGTAATACGAAAGTAATTACGCTAAAAAATCCACGTGTGTATACTTTAAAACACTGTAATGGAAGTTTTTTACGTGCCGCCGCGAAAAACTATATCGAATTCTTGCATGGGAAAATATGCGAGACACCTCGTAGAACACAGCGAACCAACGGAGATACCTACCTAAGTTTTATTTTTACTAAATTTAATTTTTAACGAATATTATACGTTAGCGTATTCTATGAAAAAAATCAACTAACTCGCTCCATTACGGTAATTACCGCTGTACTTACACGTACTTTATGCACCAGTTTTTTTCTACCCAAAACCGATAATTTCCAGAAAAAATCCGAGGCGTAGACTGATACCTATCTGTCGATATTCCATGCGTGCTCAATAGTACCTACTTTGCTTGTCAAAAATAATGAAATAATTACGATCCCTTGCTCCTCAAAAAAAACTAATAATATTCGAAGCGCTGATGGTTAATTGAAAAAATTACCACTAGTTAGGTAACAAAAGGATAATATGCGAATAAGCCTTTACTGGTGCATGGTTTATAAAATAATCAGTGATTACATATCATCTCAAAATCCCTTATTACAATACCATCATACTCATCTTAAAGTCACTTCGTTTTAGTACTTGAAGTCCATAACAAGTGACGCTATACTCTCTTATTTATTTAATTATTAATTTTTTTTCAGGAGTGTGTGGAATGGAAGATGCAAGTCTTGGCATTCGATCGTTTTAAGGTAACTTTCTTTCGGAATCTTCGCTAAATATACGCGCATACGATGGCGATACGGTCGGGCGATCGTGGCTCGCACGATTTAAGTAGTTAAATTAAGATTGTCAAGTGATAAAACCGATGCATATAAAAGATGGAGCATTGTGCAGCGCGTGGTGAATGACAGATTTAAGGCGAAGCGTTTCGAGTCACATATACCTACCGGTTCTTTTGCTCTTTGCTCTAAGTAATCTCCTGCAAAAATGGGTTTATTAATGACGGTGCGCGGCAAAGGATATTGGACGCATCCAAACCGGCTGTTTGTGACCTTAATAGTCGGTTAGATTTTGATTAATTTACTATCATTAGAAGCAGAAAAAATCCGGAGAGTTCGAATTTGCTATAAAAAATCTTATTACTCTTGCGTAATTACAATTCTAAAATTAAAATCATGCCGAACTCGTACCTACTTCTTCAATTAATGAGCTATAAAGAAATAGTAATTATCAAGGAGTGATTATCAAGGAAAGACTAGCTAAATATACCAGTAGGTATAAAATAACTTTTAAAAAATTGTAAAAATAGATTTGATTCATTTAAATCTGGATAAAAATGTATAAAAAGAGGATAATTAGGTACACAAAATAAAATTCCCGTGTATCGTTGCATCGCGTTGCACTCCGTTTACCATAAGGATTCGAGCCGTAAGTACAGAGGCCGAATTCGTGATGCCGACAATGAACTGAATTCGTTCGAAAGGAAGAAGGAAAAAAATCGGAATACAAGTTTAAATAGCTGTAACTATAAACATTTACAAGGCGGTGCGGCGGTAAACGCGGAAAACGTTCCTCCCGGTACGCTTACATGATGTAACTCTAACGATTTAAGACCCAGGAATGAGTCCTTTTACAACTCGCCACGCTAACGGTACCAGTAACTCACTATATTTTCTTTTAGCGCGGAATGGAGTCGATGTCGCCTCGGCGAACCGTTCGAAATATCGGTTTTTCGACTCAATAAAATATGTGCAAGAGATATAAAGTGAGTTCTTCGGTCGACAAATAACACCTACGTGTTTTTATAATAATGGTTTTATTAGTAACCTTCTTGGTAAAAGCGAACAATCGCGTTTCAAACGTTGTACGAGAGGAAACTGAAAAACATTGCTAACGAGAGTTTTAGAGCCAACAATGTTACACGTTACAACTCGGATGTGTCTGGTTTATTTTTTCTCCCTACTTTCTCTACATACTTACTTATTCAATTCAATTTTGGTGCTGATATTTTTTTTGAAGGAAAATTGGAAATTTCAGCACAATTTTATCACCACAAAATTGATATTTTCTCTCTACTTTTTCAAAATAAGACAAAATTTAATTTTAGACAATGCTCATTTATAGAAGGAGCCTTCCACATCTTTTTACAATTACAATATAAATCATTGTATTGCACATTTACAAATTACAGTGAATTTCCACCATCTAGAAGTAAAACTCAAATTTTCTCCCTACTTTTATCAGCTTCAAATTCAGGGATATTTTTATATGACATTTTTTTTGTATTATACACAATTTTAAAGCTATCCATGGAGGGTTTTTTTTCAGAATTTCTCCCCAACTTAATCATTTCAATTTCCCTCTACCTTTATCACCTTTAATGACATCAAAGATACAGACAGCAAGCAGATGATATGTGTGGTATTTTTCCACAATTCCAACCCAAATTAATTATCACAAAATTGCAGTGCATTATGTTATTTCCCATTCAACAATTTTAAGGCGAGTCATACACGTTTTTCTCACAATTTCATTACCTTCCACGTATAAATGACGGATTTTCGATTTGTTATATAACAAAATTTCGACCTTGACGTGTCTCCCACGGCAGTAAACAGAACTGGATGGCGAAACGAAAAGAGCATTAGCATTGTTAGAAAAATAATTCCGATTTTTGGGCAGGCGAAAAAAATAACTTATAAAAATAGTCAATTAAGTACTCGATTAAAAACCGTTTAAAATATTTCCAAACTAATTTATTTTCTCGGTATACATTTTACCTAATTAAATTCGGTGATTAGGCATGTGAAGTTGTATTTTCGTAAAAAAATATCTACCAATTAATTTGATTTATAGTGATACTTTTGATTATTTAATAACATTTTTAACATTCTACAAATTTATTCAAAAATTTATAATTTATTATAATTAAAAAAATATTTCGGAGTACCAGAAAAAAAAAACGAAAAAAAATTACCTTGAAAGAAAATCCCAGGGAACTGAGAAAACGAACTGTCACTAACAAACCAAACACGGAAAACGGAATGAAAATCACGCAACTGGTACTGAGGAGTCGAGTGGACTCAGAAACGTCGTCCGATCGCCCGGTGAGTTTACCAACCTTCGCAAGCGAGTTTCGCCGATGAACTAACTGATGGAAAGATGGAAAGTCGATGGTCGGCTGGTGTACTGGCGGTTTACTGGCAGCCCACGTGCATCTCGGACAGATTAAGAAGCAAAAAAACACTTTGATAAAATTTCTATTGCAGATGGAAAAAGTCGCGTTTGATGTTGACAATTGTTATTGTTATTGTTGTTGTTTAACACTTTCACTGCTTCAGTTAATAGGTTTTTTTTGATAAATTTTAGCTGTTATTACGATACGTTTAAAGAATTAAACGTTGGTGGAAAATTGAGAAAATTATCCAGCATACGCTACTGTTTCGCGAAATAAAAAGAAGTCCGAACAAAATAAATCATATTGTATGTTTCTCCTTTTAAGATCCACTTCTCGCTATTATATTAATGAAATAAAACGGCCGTGTGTATGTGTGTGTGTACCTAAGTTAACTACAAAGAATAAAATTCTCACGTGCTCGCTCGAAATAAATCAGATAATTTTTGTGCTATCTATAAAATCTAGTAATTTATCGTAACGCATTTCAACATTCCTCATCGCGACCGTTTTATTTAAAATTGTTTCCTTACCTACCTCTCGACGGTGCTCTTCATCCAGATACTTAAATACCCGTACGCTATAATATTCTTTTTTTCCAACGAACATTGTTCACAATTTATGAAAGGAAATATTTCTCGTCTTCTACCGATTGTCCCGCTCGTAATTCACACATTATTCTAAATCGATAAATTCAAGAAAAATTGTACTTTGTATGGACATTTCGAGGAGTTATAGGTATACTGTGTAAAATTACAGATATCAGTTACAGTATAAGTTATGAAGAAGTTTTATTTTAATAGGTATATTAAGAAATTCTATTTTAAAAAGAAGAAGTTGAATTGAGAGAAACTTTACGACATCCTCGTATAAACGTGGTAAAAATTTAAGAAGACGATTTATCGGTTCTCCGAGTGCTGACAACAAACATGATCGCTAATAGTTATAGAGGAAGTGGCTCGGTAATTGTAAATCATACTGTAGAAAACGCGGTTTAATAGTTAATACATTTATTTTTGAAGCACGTTCTCTTTTGCTTCTCCTCACTTAATGGATATGATTAGGCTAACTCGGCGAGCGCATTATTTAACCATCCGACTGTTTCGCTCGATGTGGAATATTTTTGCGGTTTGTTTTGATTAACTATTTCCTCGATGCACGTTCAATTTTATCGCCGAGATTATGATATAGTTTAGTTAACGAAATATCTGGATATTTTTATTTCGTTGGCGTTCGCGCTGCTCAAAGAGCCACAATAAAGACTTTAATTGAACCTAACTTGCAGCGAGATTTCATAAGTAGATACCGAGCGTAATTCAAACGGGGAAAAAAACCCATTCAACAGTTAAACGATAAATATAACGCACTAGAAATATTACTTTAATTATTTTCCACAAATAAATACGTATCTTAGCAGGTGCAGCGGGATTAAAGTTGGTCGCTTTGCGTTTGTTCGTTTATCGCAATTAAATAATCTTTGTCATATATATTGGTTTAATCTATTGTGGTTCGCGGAGAGTAGTCGAATCCGCCAGGAGATAATGATAATGGATGCGTCGTTGTATCGGCGGTCATTATGAAGTCCGTATTTATGAATTATACAAAGTAACTTTATAATAGCCAATTTCCTGATAAAGTAAAATAACTGCGCCGATAAACATACGAGCTAAGTTTTCCACTTTTACCTTTATTGCCTCTAAATAATCTACGCTAATTACACCATAAAATGTTCCCTACCTATCCAATTTTTTACACTTTTTACTTTGTTAGTTATACGTAATGCACGACATTTGTTACAACTGTCATTATTTATAAAATGTATAAATCATACTAAGCTCTTCATTTAACATTATTACATTTAAATAATCGACGCTAATTACACAATAAATCGATCGATCAGATTTTACCGTGGAATTTTGGACTTCTCGGCAATATGTAAAGCATGTCATTTGTCACATAATGCGCAAAATGGAGACGCGGGTGCATAAATTACGATGGGTAAATTGGATATTCGCGCCGACGCTGAGCCGGAGAGCAGAGCAGCATTGCAGGAAACGTCAGCGAGCGCGGACATAAATTGCAGATTAACTATTGCATTAATTGCATCACTTCTGCCCGAAGTGACCCGAAGCGAAATATGTAACTCCGAAAAGCAAAAAGAACAAGATGAGGAAAGCGGCCAATGAGTTGGAACATTTCGTCCCGTTAGTTGGTTATTACTATTAGAATTAGGAGGAAGCAAAGGGTGCGACGAGAATATTTTTTTATCTCGACTCGTATATTATTTTTATACAGGGAGAGCCAACGAATTGCCCATTATTGTTATTAGTCCATTGTTATTCCGTACTGAAATTTTGTTACCTGTTTTCTGCAATAATCCCACTCAGGAATTCCTCGAAACTACTCTATACTTTATTCTCTTTATCTCTATATACTCTCTTTACTCTCTATAATGTACTCTATGTACTCTCTATACTAGCTATACTATCTGCATATTTTCAAATTTCTTATCAATTGATAGAAATTAAGTTAGAGTTTTAAGGTACTCACTCAATACTCAGGTACCGACTCAATTATGTATTAATTGTTATTTCTCGATGAGGTTTCGGTGGGGATCCAAAAAGGGATTATTATTTTGGTGCGGAATTCCCGTGCACTGATTTTTTTTGTATATCATTTACATTTCAGGGATTTTTAATGGATGAGAATCACGAATTTTTGAATAAATAAAATCGAACTATACGAGTCAAATGGCTGCCATAAAATATTGACTGCCTACAAAACGAGATTTCGAACGGGCGTTAATTCGACACGTATCGACTGGCTTTAATTCTAAAACCTACCACGAATTTCAATAACTGTTTCTACCGGTATGTATCGATGACGCCATTTCGTTAATTCGGAAAAATGTTAATCCGCTGGTAGGTGCGAGAAAAGGTCAATGATCATGAAATCACAAACGTCGTTCGGACGCATTTCGTCATCTACACTGATAAAGGTAGGTACTTGAAAAATGGTAAATTAGGTATTCATTTTTGAAATTGTCGACTGTCCGTCGATATTGGATTTAATTGCTTTAATTATTACGAAACTAGATGTAGGTATACTTAAGCTGATTGTTGGACATTTTTCCCAATTACCTTCTTCTGGGAGGTCTCACATGTTTCATATATTTCCAGTCAATTAAGAAATTGTTGTATATTTTATAATAGCTGCAGCGGTGGATGTTAGATCAAATAATTTTCTGTGAAGCGTTCCTTGAAACATCGTTATCGTTACTGTACTGGGATATGGAACGTTACGATGTGCTTGTTAGAGTCACTTATAAAGGACCTTATTTTTTCTTATACTTCTGCGCTTTTTTTAGAATTTCACCGACTCGTCTTTTCTATTCTCCATTTCCTCGTTAGATTATTAATATATTTTTAAATCAAAGTAGCAAAGGATATATTGATTTAACAACTGATCCGTGAAGTGTACAAACTCAGACGAAATCGTATATGTGTTTATAAAGCCCCGTGGCTTTTTTATTATAGTTAGAATGTCGGTGGGACTTGCGCATATCAATTCATAGTCGTAACGGTGAGTCCTGGATAAAGCGAATTATTTTTTTTTATAATTTATCCCACTTCTGATTTTATCCCATTTCAGTAATTTTACAATACAATCTTAGCTAATTATCTTGTTTACTCAAGCCTGGACTTTATACGGGTTTTGGTATAGATTTTGGCGCATTCTATTTTTATGTTCATCGTCGATACTAACGAGAAACATCACCCTTTTTAGCTGAATGTAGGTTAGCTTCGTAGTGGGAAGGAGGATGGCGTCAAAATTCGGGGTAGACGGCGCGGAACGTCGGCGTCGCGACGTCGTGATTGTCTGCACGGCGTGATTCGATATGAAAACAATAATTTCGCGGGTCCTTTATAGTGTTTCCCTAGGAAAAGTAAGTAAACGTTACTTATATAATAATGCGGTGTTTTATTTTATTCGTTTTGAATGAATCTAATAATTAGTGATTTGTTGACAGAATGAACATAAAAAAAAAACATTCTCCTGTTACATAATATTTTTGAATTTTATTTCGTAAAATTTCGTAAAAAATATGTAGTAGGTATTAATTGTAGTCTAATTATTTTTAAAAAGTGTGGGTAATTTTTGGTATTTTTTTTCAAATATTTGTGCGAATTGTGAAATAATTAATAATTAAATTCTGCAAATTTTTAGTCGTAGGTACGGCGAAGTTTACGGTCCGGTGAATCAGAGAAGAGAAATTTAGAAATTAGAAAAATTTCATCCGTTGATTATACAATGTCAGTTATTAAATGTTGCTTCGAACGAGCCGAGGTGAGCGATATTATGGAGACCTTCCTGCAAAAATGCGCCGAATCTGGTTGTAAGTACCCTTCAATTTTTAATAGGTCTATTTATACTCCCTTTCCATAAATTATTCGGTATTTCCCATAAATTATGTACTAGCTATGCAACTCACTTTACAAGCTACTAAGGAACCATTCCTGTAATTAGTCAATAGTGTAAACGTCATGCACAGAACACCTTTTACGTCAAAAGTCAAAACTGCCCATTGAAATGTCAAATAAACTAAACCAAACTAACGTCAAACATCAACCATCAACTAGTGTTCGAATTGTTAAAAATAACTTGCATAATCAATAAAATACAACAACAATCTGCTGTAGAGCACTAGTAGCTAGCGTATAGAAGGTAGAAATTATCGCAAAAAAATGTGGAACGGTAATGATTCACAAATCGTCTCGCAGGTATAAATTCTATGTTATTTATTTTAGGTTGTTGCGGTTGTTGTAGTGCATTTAGGCCTAGGTACAAAAGATTAGTGGATAATATATTCCCTGTGTATCCTCAAGATGGTTTGGTCAAGTCGAATATGGAAAAACTTACGTTTTACTCGCTCAGCTCGCCTGAAAAATTGGACCGAATAGGAGAGTATTTGTATCAGAAAGCTTCCAGGGACATTTATAGGAAGAAATATGGGTTTGTATATAACTAATTAATGACTGTAAGTCGTGTAAGACCTTGAATAATTAGGTAGTATGATTCGTTTAAAGTTCAATACGATCGAATACCAATTAAAGTATTCATTACGACAATATTGTTTAAAAAAATAGTTGGAAATGCTTATGGATTCGATAAGTTTTGTTGACTCTAATATCGAGTGTTTTTATCATCTAGTTTCGTCATTATCGCAATGGAGGCGATGGATCAATTGCTTTTGGCCTGTCACGCGCCCACCTTAAATTTATTCGTCGAAAGTTTCCTGAAAATGGTCCAAAAACTGTTGGAATCCACCGAGCCCGAGTTGCAAATTTTAGCCACTCAATCGGTACGTTCCCTGCACTAGCATACTATTCCCTTTACAACATCTACCGCTTGTTTCCAGTTTGTGAAATTCGCCAATATCGAAGAAGATACTCCTTCATATCACCGAAGATACGACTTCTTTGTTAGCAAATTTTCCGCAATGTGCCACAGTGGAGAGAAAGATACTATCAGAGATAAAATTCGTATAGCCGGTATTAAGGGATTGCAAGCCGTAGTAAGGAAGACGGTTTCCGATGATCTTGTTGAAAATATTTGGGAACCGGTTCATATGGACAAAATTGTACCGAGTCTTCTATTTAATATGCAGGTATAAATGAACATTATCGATCTAAACAACAAATATTAATTGAAAGTGTTTGTTATTTTAAGGAGTCTGGTTTTTACAAGAAAGAAACCGAATCGATAGATGCGGGACCCGAAGATGCCCTGGATCCCCCTATGTTAGCTGAAACCTGTTTGAGAGAATTGGTAGGAAGGGCTTCCTTTGGTCATATCAGAGCCGTACTTAGACCTGTTTTTAGGTAAGTTTTTTTGTTGATACATTTACATTTTAATTGCACTATAATTTTAATTGTTTTTGACTAACACAATGGGCAATTAAAATAATAAAAGCCATTAAAATTGTTTATTAATGAGTTAACTCATCTTTTTTTATATTTCAGGCATTTCGATTTACATAAATTATGGGTACCCAATCAATTTGCTATTCATACTTTTCGGATAATTATGTTTTCCATTCAAGTAAGTTTGTTATAAAATAAATTACTAACATTAAACATTCACCTTTATACTCGTTATTTTTAGGCCCAATATTCCTACACTGTGGTTGAAACACTAATGGCACATCTTGATGATAATACTAAATCTAGTCCTAATATAAGAACCAATATCGCTGGCGTGTTGTCGAAAATTATCGCTATAGCTGCTGGGGAAAGTGTCGGTATGTTACATGTTTTATTAGAATTACGCTTAGTTAATATGTATTTCCTTAGGACCTTCCGTATTGGAAATTATTAATTCCTTGCTCAGTCATCTGAGAGATTCCGTTAGAAATGAAACGAGTCAAATGGAAGAAAAAGAATACCAAGAAGCTTTGATAAACGCTTTAGGAGAATTCGCTAACCATTTGCCAGATTATCAAAAAATCGAAATTATGATGTTTATTATGAGCAAAATTCCATTTCCTCTGGTGGACAATCAAACGCCAGCTGATAATCTCTTACAGAGTATACTGTTAAAGAGTTTATTGAAGGTATACCTACCACTAATTTCATCCTGTTTAATATTAATTACGAGTACTTTTGCAGGTCGGTACGAAATATCAAACAATTCATCTAAACACAACTTTCCCCGTATCATTTTTGGAACCTTTACTCAGAATGTCTTTAGCCCCGGATCCCGATATGCGATTGTTGGTACAAAAAATATTGCACACTCTCATCGATAGACACAACAATCTTGATAAGCTCTCTAAACCGACGTAAGTACATTAACATACAGAATCCCGGTTATTATTAATCGTTTTTTACTCTAGTGTGAACGTAGCTGAATTAGAACTAGTATTAGAGAAATCATCTCGACCCGACTTGATATTTATCAACAAACACGGCCCGATCATCTACGACGCCCTGTATACCAGCCTACAAATGGATACCAACGTTCCGGAAAACATCGAAGCTGTGTACACTACATTGGCTTTGCTCTGTGTAGAGTTAGCTTGCTCCGAGACCGTCATAGATTTGTTACAATTAACTTTAGGGTAAGCATTTTAAATAACTTTCGTCCCACGTTTTAACTGTTCGCTTCCAGAATACAAAGTTTAGCATTAAACAGCACCTCATTATCGAACGCTCAAAAATTCAACCTCCACGCCGTAGTCATCAGTTTATTGGCGTTGATACCGAACGTAGTCAATATTCAATCGCTCGCCGATTACGCCGGGCTGATAATCGAACAGCGAAAGCAAGAGGCTCCGCATTTACTGCCCTATTTGTATCCCGCGTACCCCGCCAACAGCGAGGTAGCTAATAAGCTTCCGCATCTGTTGGTCGATCAGGTAGTTACTATACAATTGTGTAATTACTACGATGTATGATGTATTGAATTGTAGATGGCGGTTTGTGAATACCTCAAAGAGAGCGGCATAGATCCCTCAAGGCTCCAACAGACATCGCCCTACGGCGCAGGCGGGCCTGGTTTGATTGGAGGTTCCCAACGTAACAGTTGGATCGAGAACGGTGCTCGTGGAAGCATTGTGGATATGCCTGTAACTGAAGTTGACAGTGCAGCTAGCTCTCCTGGTGTTCAAAAGGTAACTAACGACTTTACAAACGATTGTTGATTATAACGCGTTCTTGTTGTGTTTAGAAATATACAGAAGAGGAATTGAATTTCGAAAGTATGAAGAAAGTGCTGACGGAGCCTCCGGAAATACGAAAAGAAGCCGAGGCTGAGCGAAGGAAGATGCTCAGTCATACGTTTAGAACGGCCACGTTTTCTGAGCTCGTACGAAGGACTCAGCCTAAGGTAGTGTTGGACATAAACGAGAAAACATGATTTTATTTTGATAAATTTCAGCACGACGTGCTACAAAGTAAACTGAACGAAATATTCAAGTCTTTAACAGTGAATGGTAATAGAAGTCCCACTGAAGAGAAGAAATCGGGGATTCCCCCTTACGAGCAGAACTTCCCCGAGTTGTTTTACTATTGAATACGTGGATATGCTAAGGAATAGTGGTTTAATCAAGCGAGTTTAGGCAATCATGTTTTAACCATATCTATAGTTTAAACGTACTTACGTTGTGGACGAGGTGGTGATATCTAACTCATATGGTTTTGAATATTCTTATGGCACTTACTCGTTAAGTAATTTTATTCGATTACTTTTGTACTTTTTTTTTAGTAGGAAAAGGAACAAATTATTTTATGATTGTTGCGAAATTGTATTTTTCAAAAGGAAGTTACCAAGTCATGTTAACAACAAATTTTATCTCTTGTTGCGTGTTTAAATAAAATATATGGAAGTTGGAAGAAACAGAATCAATATTTCTTCTAACCAGAGTTTTTTTATTCATTTTGTTGTGTGGAAATTAATATTTTTGTATTTCCAGAACGAACCACGACAAGTGTGTCTAAAGTAAAAGACCACTTATAATTTTAAGAAGAACTGTCACTGTCAAAAACATCTGTAGAATGTAGGTTATATTGCAAATTTATCGAACTAAAACACTTTATTTTTCTTATAATTAAGTAATTTACGAGTAAAATGAACTAACATAACAAGCCAGCAGTAGAGTAGGATTTCTACCACTATTATGAGTTTTTTAATTAATGCTTTGAAAAATTTTTTGCACAGGATGTTTCAAGTGTTGTCCCTGGGTAAGAAAACGATAACGAATTCTCTTAGTATTTACGTAAAGCATATAGGGGGTAGAACTCTCGCAGTAGAGTTGGACCCGACGTGGGATATTAAAAATTTGAAGGAAGTCGTCGCTCCGAAATTAGGTTTGGAGCCTAATGAAGTGAAAATCATTTTCGCTGGAAAAGAATTGGGAGATGAGATTAAAATTGAGGTATAGTAGGCTTTAATTTCTGCTAAATTAGTTGTAATAATACGTTGAAATTGTAGGAGTGCGACTTAGGTCAAAAAAGCGTCCTTCACGCTGTGAAAATAGCGAAAAAAACTAAATTGCCTCAGCTGAACGATGGCTCGTTTATTGAGGAAAACGAAGATCTAAATTCGAGCAAACCTTTAAGCGAAACATTAGATGATTCAATGTTTTCGCACGAAGATAGCTCTTCAAGTAGTGCCATCATCGATAAAGAAAATTCTCAATCAGAAGCCAGTAAGTGTGCCCTACTAAATTATTCAATCGAAATCCCTTTATGGAATCTTGCAGGTACAAGTAAATCAAAAGTTCACTTCTACGTATTTTGCCCGACCTGCAAAGAAATGAAATCTGGCAAAATAAGAGTAAGATGCCATTTTTGTAAAAGTGGCGCTTTCACTGTTCACTCTGAACCACAAAATTGGCACGATGTTCTTATTACGAAGCAGATCACGGGAACCTGTGAAAATAGTCCTGAAAGCTGTGCAAATGTAAGCAACAAATCCATCTTCATAAACATCAATTTTTATAATATCTGCCGTAGGTTTTAAGCAATCGGGAACCCACATTCGCCGAGTTTTATTTCAAATGTTCAGAGCATACTTCTTTAGGCGAAGAAGATGGGGCTGTACCGTTAGATTTAATCAGGCCAAATCTAAGAGATGTACCATGCCTAGCTTGTGCAGATGTTTGGTATGTCTAATATTACTTAAATATTAATAAAATAATCTATTAATTTCAGCGACCCCGTGCTTGTATTTCCATGTACAGAAGGTCACGTAACTTGTTTGGATTGTTTCCGACAATACTGCATCACCCGTTTAACGGAAAGGCAATTCTGGCAACACCCGGAACTCGGATACACTTTAGCCTGTCCGGCCGGCTGTCCTGATTCTTTCATCAAAGAAGTACACCATTTTAGGTTGCTTTCTGAAGCTCAGGTGATTCTATTTGAGAATTTTATTGATTGGATTTACATGTTAGTTATTATAGTATGCTCAGTATCAGAGATTCGGTACTGAAGAATTCGTTCTAAGATCTGGAGGAGTGCTTTGTCCGCAACCGGGCTGTGGTATGGGGATTTTAGTAGATCCAGGTTGCAATAAAGTCGCCTGTATTAACGGATGTGGAGTAAGTGTTTCTACATAATTTATAATTCGAGAGTTGATAAAGGGTAAATGATTTTTTCTTCTTAGTACGTATTCTGTCGACTTTGCCTCCAGGGTTATCATATCGGTGATTGCAGACCCGCTGATTACGATTCTAACAGTAATTCGGAGGGTTGTTTGTATAACGTAGACCCCGGTAGAGCGCTGGAAGCCAGGTGGGACGAGGCCTCTAGGGTAACAATAAAATCGTCCACGAAACCTTGTCCTAAATGTAGAACCCCAACGGAAAGAGACGGTGATTTACTAAAATTTAGCTAGTGGGTTTCGAATGATATTAACGTATTTTTTAGGGGGTTGCATGCACATGGTTTGCACTCGAGCCGGTTGCAAATTCGAATGGTGCTGGGTCTGTCAAACCCCATGGACGAGGGATTGCATGGGAAGTCATTGGTTTGGATAACGCGCTATAAATACATGTGATATATTTGGGTGATATTGATAGGGATATTTATTTTGTAAAATGTAGATGAAAATTTATTAAATTTGTAAGTGTATTCTGCAATTAACTAGGTCCTTGGCGGTAATTGAAAAATGGGTAGTTTTAAAGGTTATTTATGTATCTATGGTATCCTTCTTTTCCTCTCTTTAATTGCATTCTTCGTGGGAAGTCTAATTTTTGTAGCTACATCAAGGAAGGTGAATCCTTATTCTCGTTCAAAGTTGTTGAAAAAAGGTAATAGGAATTTCGGAATGAAACTGTCGCAAGCCTCACGATTTGACGTGTAGATAGGTGACACTTTCAAAATTATCTTAAAATGTCTAACAACCCATCTAATATAATATCAGACATAGGATCAACTAGTGTTGTAGTAAAACCGCTAAAGGTCGGGAGTAACCAGTTTAAATGCAGCCAGTCGGAGAATAAATTGAAAATCGCCAGTAAGGGAATCAAAGAGAAGATAGTGAGCAAAGTGAGGTCTTGGAGCTGCAGGGAAAAATTCCACATAAATGTTAACGCTGACGTCGACTCGCACCTTTTGAAGAACCAGAAAGTCGAGGATACCGAAACCGAATCGATGGAGAACATAGCGGATTCGAATCTGACGCGCGCCCGCGACAGCCTGGAGAACCTGCTGAAGGAGGAGGTGCAGAAGAGCGACGAGTTCAAGAGCCGCTCGACGTCGTCGACCGGCGGGGACTTGAAGAAGAACGCGCGCGCGCCCGAAGCGCCGAAATCGTCGCCGGACACGTCGAAGACCGCCGGCAAGCACACCATCTGGGATCCGTTCGACAAGAAGAGCAGGAAGAATCGCAAGGAGCAGGGCAGGAAGAAGAAGAACAAGAAGCACAACGTCGAGCAACCCAAACAGGAGTGCTCGACGATGCACATGGAAGGAAAATCGTGCTTGGTGAAGCAGCGCGAGGAGAATAAAGAGACCGCCGACGATACTGAAACGCTCGATGACGAGTATATTTATAAGTACAAATATTTTCCGAAAAATAGTAAATCCGTTGTTTTTACGAACGAAGTGTTTGTGGTGTACTTTAATGGTAACGACGTTTTCGAGTCGAGAGAGCCCTTAAAAAAAGACGTCGAACAACAAGAGAGGAATAAGGAAATGAGGCAAGGCCATTTACTTCGGACTCAAGAAAAATATAACCTATGTCTTTATTAAATTTTTTGTTTAGCCCGTCCTCTTGCAAAATTTATGCTATTTTGAATGAAATATGTTGTATACCGCCCAATAATACGCCATAAAAATTGTTCCGGCGCCCTCTGGCTAAGCAGGGGAACTTAAAAATTGTTTTTTTTATTAAACCATTAAATTGCAGTTAAAACAACTTTGTCCATCAACATTTTTACACAACAAATAGAATCTCTATAAAAAAATTATTAAAACAACCGATTTTCTATATCATATTAGGGGAGTTTTAAAGGTATGAATACGCTTTCTTTCGGAATTAGTTGTAAATCATGATTCATATACGCATTCTTATCTATTATCAGCTCCCCGTACGAACTTCAACTTTTAAGTACGGAATGATGGGAGTAGCTGAGACCTCGACTGTTGAATGCGCAGTATTATAAGTAAACTGAGCTCAATCGGTCACTTATAAGCGAATTTACGCAAAAATGCTTGTCAAAATTTATATAAATTCTAAATTTATTATAAAATGTGTATTGTTGGTGTATTTTGCACAATCAACGAGCCAAACGGTTCCAGAATAGCCAAAACTTTGGATAATCAGGTAACTTTTTTTTTTGATAAGTTTGTGCTAATCATTTTTTGAACAAATGACTGGTATTTTTCACGTTTTATACTCTTGGAACTTGTCTTGAAATAATCCATGGGAATCACCTCACCTACACATTTTGCATTTCTCAATTCATTCCTCATTTCCTTATCGTTTACATTTTGTTACGTTTACGTAGAAGTTATTTGCTTTGTTTCGCTGTGATACCTATAAGCAAAAGTCCTTTATACGAGCGAATAAAACGTTCTATGGTTGACGTTTGCGTTGACTTTTGACATACTGTCACCTGTCGGTGGGATTCGATAAACGTGGGATTGCAGAATTCTGCACGAATTTTTCAAATTTTTAGCAAATCGACGCATGACCATTACAATTTATTACAGTGTTGGTTGTTTAATAATATGGCAACTCAAGTGTTCGACCACATTTCTCATGTAAACCTGCGATTTTTTGTTCGCCTGTATTTATAACAGCGAGTGTTTATGTCGTAAAGTCGGACGTCGGGATATTTATTTAACAAGTAAGTAGCAAGTAATATTCGGTTTGTCGATCGATAATTTTAATTCAACAATTGCGCTTCATCTTTTGTAAACTGAAACCACAAGAATGGAAATTGGAATTTGATATTTCTGGAATATCTTAATACCCCTGCGGTTGATGTTATAAATAAAGCTGCTTATTATTTAGTTGGATATCTTTTAAACCTTCGATTTGTTTGTTGTAATACTACAGTCATAATTTTGTAAATATCTAGTAACAGCGAGCATGCTTTCATCAATGCGCTTATAGTATATTTACGTAAATACTACTGGTAACTGGTAATATTTGAGAATTTTTTGGGGAAAATATTTTTGAGTTTGTATATGTAAGTTGTTTAATTAAGCTTATCTAAAAAGATTTTAATTTACAATGCAAATTGCATAATTAAACCAAATTGCTAACGTCTGAACTCAGTTTTAACAATTTTTTTGATTAGATAAATATTGAGTAGCAGAATGCGGAGTTCATTAGTTTGATAAGCAAAACGACCGTTTTCTATTAGAATTTTTTATAAAATTCAAAAATATAAGGTCAAAATTTTTTTTAAAAATTTATAATTAATTATATGATTTAAATCATTTTATTTATTTCAGGTACCTACACATTCAGAATGGCTTCTTACACAACATTGAATGGTAAGAATTTTTCGACTCAAAAACCCAATATTCGTTTAATAAATTGTTCACCATTGAAATTATTACGTATAGCAATGATTTAGAAATCAAATCGACCTTGGAATATAATTCAGTTAATTTTTTTTAAATAAATTTTCATTGTATCATACGTACGTACTTCAAGCATTGCAAATGGTATCATGTAAATAAGAAGAAAACAAACATTGATCTAAATTGTGGACAACAAAAAAGTTTAACGTTTGTTCACTTAATCACTCAGGCTAGACTCTTAAAAAAAGTTGTCTCGTGATGTTTCTGTTAATCAAAATTTATTTTTTTAGATTATCTGCAACCAATTTTTGAAATTTCCAATACAAACTCGCATGAAAACAATAATTTTCAATGCAGAGTGGAACAAACCCGATTTGTTTTTAGTAATTGGCTAGGTATTGCATTTTAATTTTAGACAAAAGCAGCGTGATAAGTTAAGGCGGATTCAAAAGTCAAGGTGTCCCAGTTCATTAGCCTATTCATGTATTTTTTATGATCGAGATCGATATTTTTCAAATCGATTTTTGAAGTCATTAACACTTTCGCAGTTTCTCCCTATGAACGTTAAAGATATTTTTTATCTAATCTGTAATTATAAAGTGAAACATTTTTATCAAAGCAATTATGTACTTAATGTTTATGTCTCCTATAGATATTTATTATGGGATAAGTAATTATTTTAATAGATTTATGGAATTTCAAGGCAGTTTTGAATTTCCTACGTATCTTTACATACAGCAATATTTATGTATTAGTTTTTTCGATCGATTTGTTTTCAACTAATCCAATTTACTCGGACACGAACGAGCCGATTTTCCTTAATAGGAAAATTAGTAGCGCTATTGCGACTTCGTCTACTGTCTTTTTCGAAGGTCGAGGCCTTGAACTCGAATAAACAGATAATGTGAAAAAAATTCTAGCCGATTGTTTGATTATTTGCGGCTTCTTACGTCAGGAGTACTCGTACCTGTCGCAGGAATCTGTATGCTACCGGTCGAATTTCATTTCTTACGTTATGTTATTTTGGAACTTCACCATAATGCAAAACTCGTAATGATTAATAAAGTTTTAAATACTTAGTAATCAGTCTTTTATTAGTCAGTTCTTTAAATAAATAAAACGTCTAATGAAACGAGGATTTGGATGTACGTAATTGTAGCTAAATTAATACGAATTTATCACTAGTTAATTCAGTATTTCAATGTGTACCTGACACACTTCTTTTGAGCTATAAAATCGTTTCTTTTTAATTTGGAACGACGACTAGCTTGCTATTTTTTTCTAGTAATCCATTACCTTATCAACAGGACATAAGTACTTCATAAAAACTAATCAGTATAAACAATATTATCGAAATATTGTTTAGGTCGCCGTAAATCAAATCGAGTATTTAATTACGTTAATACACTTTTTGTATTTCCTAATAATGTCGATTAAATGTGCATCGCAAAAAATCCTTTCCAATAATTCAATATTAATTCCAGGAATTTGCGTTTATAAATATTTTATCAGATATCTTTATCATTAAACGATATCCATTTTCCTTTTCGTAATCAATAGAGTTTTTATTGTCTCTTTAAATAAATTTGATTGATTGAATAATATAAAAATAAAAAAGAGTAGTGTCTTTATCAAAACCGTCCAACATACAAACTTCATTCCATTTAATTTCATGAAGGTATAACTCCCTTAATGAAGAATGTACTTAATTTTTATGAGTAGTAGGGAAGGCTATATTAATGTATTTTACAGGCGATTCGCCGAGGAATGGCGACATCCAAGAATTGGAAATGGAGGAGGAAGAGGAACAGCCCGTGGTCCATTTGGAGTTCTTTGACGAGATCCTCCAGACGCACGTCCTCAAATCGCTGAACATGATGAGAAAAAACCGATACTTCTGTGACGTTATTCTTCACGTATGTGCCTGACTGTGCCAAAAACAGCATATTTTACGAGTTTCAAATGATCACTGATTTCAATTCATGCCTTACTCGATATATGCCTTCCTGAAATAATGGCGTTACATCTCTCTTTACACCATTGTCGTTAATTAGATAGTATATTAATAGGAAATAAAAAATGTGGCTCGGTATTTGGGTAAGTAAATCGGTCACATTGTCGAGTCGATCTAGAGCGAGAGTGTATTTGTATTTAAAAATAAATCCTCATTGTCGGGTAACACCCACGCCTCGGCGTATTTTAAGTTAATTGCCGAATTTCGAGTAAACATGGTGTTAATTGCTTAGCTTCATTTATTGATCGGGGTTTGTTGTCGCGTTGTACTTGAATAATTCAATGTAAATGTTCGTGGGGTAATTGGAGACGTGCGATATTATTTCAATGGAAAATTCACGGAACTAATTCAGTAATATGACGATTTTTTCGCGTGACTATTTGAAACTGTAAATATGGGTATTGTAAACAGTCAGTTACACTACTGGACAGCTCTAAAATCATCAATTTTCAAATTAATTTTACCAGTAGTGAGTAGTTTTTAAGTAAATTAACATAGTAGTAGTTTAAATGAGATATATCGAAAGAGGAATCGTTTTTGTTTGCATGTAGAAAAAATTGTTACTCTTAAGCCTATATAGTTGCAGTTTGCGCTCGAGACCAAATCGATTAGGTAAAAAAATTACTTTTTTTCTATGACACATTCTTAATACCGGAATGCGTTTAAACTTTTCTGTTTTAGAACGATACGTGGTATTAGGGTGACGGTAATTTATCTTTTTTTTTTATCATTTTTACGTTAGTTTTTATTTTCTCATGATCATCTTGTTTCATCAAACGTATCACTAAAAGCCTCTACGAGCGTTACATTGTCGTTTTTTTGCCGTTTAGGTTGGTAACACCGAAATCCACGCTCACAGATCGGTGTTGGCCAGCGTGTCACCTTATTTGTTCGAATTATTCACCACGGACCAAGACCAGAAGAGGACTGAAAACATCATGACCTACAAACTAAACGGCGGTTTCGATCCGGCCGCGCTTCAAATTTTGATCGATTACGCTTACACCGCCAAATTGCAAGTCCATTACGGCAAAGTAAGTAATTCGATTCTCCTAATAATCAACTCTCGAATAACGTAAAATGTGTGCGAAGGTCAAAGCGGTGTTTTTGGCCGCGAACATCCTAAAAATGGACCGAGTAAGCAGAAGCTGCGCCCAGCATCTCATCATACATCTTTCTACGGAGAATTGCATCGAAATCAGATCGCTACCCGGCATAGCGAAGAATAAAGAATTCATACAGCAAGTTGATGCTTTCATATCCACTGAGGTAATATTCATACTAAGCCAGTTTCGGGTAGATCTTTATGGATACTTTGTGGGTTACAGTTTCAAGAAATCAGCAAAACCACCAACGTTCTGAACCTGTTCTGTGCTCGAATAGAAGTCCTGAACCAATCCAAGGAGGAAATGTCGTTCGTGAACGAGAATTCCCTCTGCAGATTGGTGCTGGAATGGATCAAGCGGCAAATAGCCGAAGATACGCTAAATATGTCCGATCTATTGGAGAAAACGTTCATGTTGTACCTAGCCATCGATAATTCCCTTCAAGACTGTTCAAGAGTTCCTTCAGGCGACATAAGCGATACGGAAATCGTCCAAGATTACAAGAAATTGTCGTTGAAAGACAAACAGGGAGCAACAAAACACAAAAAGAAGGTAAATAGATTCTTTACGAAACAATCCTCGCTATGAGTAGTGTAAAAAATTTGATAAACAGGTACTGAGCCAACCTTCGAAACCTCGGGTACTAATTTACAACAGAGAAATCGGCGAGGAATTGGAGAGCGAACTGGAACCCGACTGGAATCTAATCGCAACAACGTCCATCAGCGATCACAGCTTCCTGGCTTTGGTCACATTAGCGGGAAAATTGTCGACTCTCTCCGTTCAATTAAGGTACGATTATTGTCGGGATTTGGTGTAATCGAAACTTACTTTATTCATTAATTAGATTAAATACCCCGTCGACTCCATCGCCCGTACAAACGCCAGAAGCTAGCAGATCGGCTAGCGAGGACAAACCTGACGTTTACTGTGCAGTAGCCAATATGTCTTGCCAACGTTGCGCTCTCGGCTGCGGGAATTATAATAATACCCTCATTGTTTGCGGTGAGTTATTAGTACATGATGAATTTGTTCTCTTTGATATATTTGTCTCCTCCACCTCTTGACTTCACGGAGTACAATGGGTTGCATAATTTTCAGGATAAAATTTTTTGTCTGTAAAACCTCTGCCATATGATGTTTATCGTTATTTGTGCCGTGTAGTAAACGATTTTGTTCAACAGGTGGTTACGACAGGACCGAGTGCTTGAGATCGGCCGAGCAATACATTCCAGAGTCGAATACGTGGAAGAATCTTCCGGCGATGAGAGAGAGTCGCGGTCGATTCAAGATCGTCGTATTGAACGAGAAAGTCTATGCCATAGGTATGTGTGTAATGGAGAATTAAAGTGCCTGTAAATTCATTTTCGGTACATTTTAAGGCGGTAGTAACGGAACGACGGAGCTGGACACCGTCGAAATGTTGGACTTCTCGTTGGGCAAATGGGTGAAGTTGCCCAAAATGCCGTTGGCTCGAAGCAACATGGGAGTGTGCGCGTTGGGATCGCGTATTTATTGCATCGGCGGTTGGAACGGTCAATTCGGCATCAAGCAGTGTCACGTGTTCGATCCGGAGACGGCAGTTTGGTCGTCTATAGCCCCGCTAAATATAGGTATATATTTTTTTATTATTTTTGCGAACCTAATTTTAATTTGCGCGTATTTGCAAGGTCGTTATCAAGCCGGAGTCACATCCTACAACAACTTTATTTACGCAATAGGCGGATCAGATGCTTGGAATTGCCTCACGTCGGTGGAAGTTTACAATCCGGAAGATAACACTTGGCAGCAATCCAAGCCTATCATTACCGGTAGGAGAGGTTGTGCTTTAACCGTGTTTAACAACAAATTATACGTTATCGGAGGTAATTTAGTTTATTTTTGGTAAATACGGATCGATAACGTTTGAATGTTGAATTTTTTTAGGATCCGATGGTCAACATTCCTTGAGTTCCACGGAGGTTTTTGATGAAGAAACTCGATCCTGGGTATTTGGGCCGTCGATGAATACTCCGAGGGCTAATATGGAAGTTGCTGTTGTTGGTGATAGGCTCTATGCTGTCGGTGGATTCTCAGGTCAGTAATTTACGAATTACCTGCAACATAATTATACTTGAATATACCCTGGTTTCAAAATAACTGGCACTGACTCGTCTTTAATTTTTTTTGAAAAATGGTGCATGAGTAATTTGGCCACCGATTATTAGGGTATAGGTGAAATTTAGAAGATAATACTCCATTGTTTTCAAACTGGAATATCAACTCTACACTGTTAAACATTTTCTTTAGGTATAAAAATTAAAATGCATTATTTATATAGGAAAAACATTCCTGAATACAATCGAGTATTTGGACCTGAAATCGAACGAATGGACGACGTTTGTACCAAAGGGCACGTGTGATATGTTGAGCAGACGGAAACCGAGAAGTCGCAAAAATTCCAGGAAAAGCGTGTCTGAGGAAAAGAGCAAGTCCTCGTTGACTTCCTCAGGTACGCCGGCGGATATTATCGAAAACCCCGTTATGTCAGATGAAAATTCCACGACGGAAAAAGAGGTGGATGATGAAATTCCATAAAAATTGTAGTTTACGCGTATGATAATGCTTTGGTTGCCTCTCAGTATTTTCAATTAATCTGGGCATATTAACGACACACAAAACTGAACGATTCGATTAAGATTAATAGAATTTTAAAAATATACTTTGATTTAAATGAGCGTTATTAATTTTTTTTATCGGAAATGAATTAAAATGCCTAGATTTGTAAACTACAACATAACTATTTAGACTCATAAATTCTTCTGACATCTGAATAAACATATAATCTAATCAAAAAATATAAGTATTTTTAGGACCGTCTCTTTTTTAATCTACATTCGAACAGATAACTGAATAAAATTAAGTAGTAAAATATATAAATTATACACTCATGACTTAAAAAAATATACAAAAAGAGACGGTCAAAGGAAAACGTATTTGTACGAAAAAAAAAACAGTTTTATAAACATTTTTTCCATTACTTATAGAACGATTGATTTTTAAATTATACCCAAAATATAATCAGGAATAAAAAGAATTCTGAAAAATTTAAACCTACTTAAAAATATTTTTAAATTTCCTTTTTTTATATGTTTTTAAGACAAATCTCTTTTTTTTTCCAAGTGCAGTTTATAAATAGTGCAGAATAGTTTAAAGTTGAAACCCGAAATAAGGAAATTAATTATTGATACGTATTTGTGCAATCCTTCAAATTTATTTTATGGTAAAATTTGAGTTTTCTTAATCTGTGATATAAGTTAAATAATGTCTTATTTCCTAACCAAGCATATCTAAAAAAAGACTAAACTCGAAATTAAAAATCAATCGTTTTAGAAGTAAACTGATTTTGTATTATTTTGGCCTCTAGTAATTAATATCGTAAATAAATATAGTCGAAGCTGCTAAATTCCAATGAAATGAATATAATAGTATTTAAATACCGGTGAGCATTTAAATGAATTTGTTAATTATTAATGGAATCGGTGGAATTATGTTCCAAGTCGATTGGTCGTTTAGCAGCCCTATTAATAATTGATAGTTTATCATTTCATGTTTTATTGAAATCGTTAATTCAACATCAAATGCTAAAAATATATATTAGTACATAAAATATCTATATATTTTAAATACTCTTTTTCACTTGCAATAAATAACATGTTTATATCGGTTTAAAAAATTGTTAACATCTAATAGATTTGAATTATTTGAACGTCTTTTTTAAATCATTTATGAAAATTAACACTGAACATTTTTCTCCCAAATATCGCATAAAAATTGGCTAATAAATATTACCGACAATAACATTTGTTTAAATAAATCAGAACCAATGAAATGTTCAGTGCGTTTTCTTCCTAATCAGTTCGTCAATTTGTTGATGTAATTGATGGAATGTAGTTGATGGAATTGATGTTTTTTTGCAGTGATAGCTTCTTGTGAAAACAAAAATATTAACAGGTCCTATCTAATTATAAAAGATCGGTTTTTATATTCCTAAGTTTTTTTTGCCCAAAAATAACATCACAAAGATATTACATGTATTTTAAAATGTTACTTTTTACTCAAAAGAGCTAATTTGGAAGATAAATAACCGAGCTTATATTCGAAATGATTGAGGAAGTTATCACTTTTGAGCAGCGTCTTCTGGCGCACTCTATTTTCTATAATTTTTAATTTGTGTGTCAGGTTATGCAAACATCTGATATGCATATTTATACGAAATAGCCATTATTTGATATGTGTGGTTAATAAATAAATGTTTTATTATAAAAATTGTTCACAACTTATGATTCTGTCTAATGAGTCTTTACTTTTATACCTTTTTTGTGTTTAAACAAAAACCCAATTTTCACAAATCCTTTAATATAAATCAGTCGAGGTATTAAGAGGGGCGTTGAGCACTTCAACAGTCGTACCAATAAGCAGGTAGTCCTTTATGATGTCCGTCTAATCGTTTTCGACCCCTAACACGTAGGTATATGTTAACCCGTTCCAAAAATGATAATTTTTAAGAACATTTATTTCACAATAATAAGGATAACACGATATATTGATAGTGCCGTTGTGGATGCTAACGCTCGGGTGGATCGATTCGCAGGATTTCAAAGAAGCGAAATTGGACAGTCAGGTGACGAGGAAATATCTTCCTGCTTTAATGTCTCTGATGGTGGATGATCAAGTGAGATAGTTGAGCTCTAAATGCGTCTGACGACAAACGCGAAGCCGCCTTTACGGTTATAGTTAGAACATTGGGGGTCTGTTCCAGACGCTGTATATAGAAGCTTATTTACAAGACAGTATTGTATTTAGGAAATAAATTTTTACATATAAATATTGTTTTTTTTTAATAAATAAATAAAACGTTTGAAGGATTTTACATAAAAAGGCATTTCGTTTTGAGATTTCTGAAAAATTGATAACGATTATGCATTTATAAGTTTTTAATGACCGAAATACTGGTTGCCTACCTAATAGTGTCCATAAATCGATTTTCCATCGATAAATGTAATTCTGGTTGTCTAACTATTGTATTAGTAAGGCGCGAGTATTAAGTATCAGGAGTAAACCTCCTCACGGAGATGGTCTCCTAATACGAAATTTCTAATTCGCAAATATTTAACGTGAAATTTTCGAATGATCGACAAAATTTTTCTTCCGATTTTTACAAATTGCGTTGAAAAAGTCTTGCGTTTTTTTTTTATTAGGAATAATAATAAGTATTAATAATAATGCCCAAAATGATAAATTTCTCTTGAAAATGTGTTTTGAAAAACGACGATAGAATCTTTATTAATGCATCAGGATTCATCCAGGACTTTCCGTAGAAGTACCTCTCTCCATATAATAAATATCTCCTGTTACTAGACTTCCTTGCATATTCTCCTTGCCTAATATCCGAAATTAACCAATGGAGATCTACGAAAACTTGTGCTCAAATCTCGAAATAAAACGTGAATTTAAAATTTCGTATTAGGAGAACAGAATGTGCGAGGAGGTTTACTTATGACGCTTATTAATCGCGCTCCTGCTCGAAGCAATACATACAAAGGCAACCATTTAATCGAATTTCGGTAATTCTGGTTGCCTATCTATTGTATTAGTAAAGCGCGAGTAATAAGTATCAGGAGTAAACCTCTTCACACATTCTGCTCTCCTAATACGAATTCTTAAATTCACGTTTTATCGTGAGATTTTCATACGTTTGACACAAACTAGTCGAACTCCTAATATTTGTTTCTCCCGATCTTTTTGCTTTAATAGCTCCAGATTTTTACAAATTGCGTTGAAAAAGTTTTGCGTTTTTTTAATGAACGAAAAATACTAAGAATTCTAAAATCAGGATTAAGGATGTCATAAAAAAATTTTAATATTCTATTTTCGTATCATTTTTGTAATAAAGAATTATTAATAATGCCCAAAATGTTAAATTATCTTTGAAAATGTGTTTTCAAGAACGACGAAACATTTAGAATATTTATTAACGCATCAGCAGGATTCATCCAGGACCTTCCCTAGACGTAATCTCTCTCGATATACTAAATATCTCCCGATATTGAACTTCCTTGCATATTCTTATTGCCTAATATCCGAAATTTATCAACGAAGATCGACGAAAACTTGTGCTCAAATCTCGAAATAAAACGTGAATTTGAAATTTCGTATTAGGAGAGCAGAATGTATGAAGAGGTTTACTCCTGATACTTATTACTCGCGCTTTACTAATACAATAGATAGGCAACCAGAATTACCGAAATTTGATTAAATGGTTGCCTTTGTACGTATTTGTAATCGAACAGGAGCGCGATTAATAAGCGTCATAAGTAAACCTCCTCGCACATTCTGTTCTCCTAATACGAAATTTTAAATTCACGTTTTATTTCGAGATTTGAGCACAAGTTTTCGTAGATCTCCATTGGTTAATTTCGGATATTAGGCAAGGAGAATATGCAAGGAAGTCTAGTAACAGGAGATATTTATTATATGGAGAGAGGTACTTCTACGGAAAGTCCTGGATGAAATTTATCATTTTAGGCATTATTATTGTTTTATAGTAGAAATGATGAGAAAGTCGAATGCTAAAAGTTTTGTCGAGTTTATTGAAAAAAAAACGCAACCTTCTTCAACGCAATTTGTAAAAATCGGAAGAATAGTTTTGTACATCGTTCGAAAATTTCTCGTTAAAAATTTGCGAATTTGAAATTTCGTAGTAGGAGAACAGAATGTGTGAAGAGGTTTACTCCTGATACTTATTACTCGTGCCTTACTAAAACAATAGATAGGCAACCAGAATTACATTTATTGATCGAAAATCGATTTACGGATACTATTAGGTAGGCAACCTATTTATCTATTATATACCTCTAAGATACCAGAAATGCATTAGAAATGATTAAGTATGAACGATTTTTTATAAAAAATGCATTACATTAAAATTTTTGAAAAATTAACAAAACTGCTCCATTTTTTAATTGCTAATTACATGAAAACTGGTTGGAATTGGCGATTTCAAAATATATAAAACAAAACACTTTCAACGATATTTTTATTTTCTTACAAAAACTCACTATATACAAAAACGTTACAGGAGTAAAATCATTGTGTCGATCTCAATTCTTACACTTATTTCGCACTTCATGAAATTTTCCTTTTATGGTTTTGTATTCCTTTTGTATTCCTTCCTGTATCGAATTTCGTTAAGAGTCGATACAAATTCACCTACAAATCACAAATTATTACATACACTCCAAATTATAACATAACGCTTTGAAATGCATACCTGAAGAATGATATATTATTCTCTCAGAAATTCATCGATAAACAAAATGCCGAAGGCCGTAGATCGCGAGATAGATACAAAAAGGGGCGATTCCGTCTCAATTTCCATAGATTATTGAACTGTCATTTTTCTTAATACCATCCAATGCTTAATCAAGGGCAATCAGGAACCAAAGACAAAAAAATCTATCGGATCTCCTACAAACAATAACTCAATTATAACAATAATTAAGCATTATAAAACTAGCTAACCCTGCTGAGTGAACTGAAACCTCTTTTACGATACAACAGGTTGGAGAGAATTTCTTGATACTCGTACATGCTCTGTGAAGTTCCTGGGATTCGACAATTTCCTCATAAGCTCGCCGAACCTCTGCAGGAGCAGATGGAAGGTCTCTTTACATTACTGCAATTTTCTTCTCTCGAGAAGTCATTCCGAAGCGGATTAACAAGAGTCAAAGCCTGCAATTTTGCGCATTTAAATTAAGAAATAACCAAATTCGTTCGGTTAACTCGACTTACCTGCAGCACTGCATTACAGTATTCGTTAGCTTTAATGTTATTTAGGCCTATTATACAGGGGATGTACAACGATCCATCGATAGGTCTGGACAACTTCGTGGGATTCAACACATACTTCGTATCATTTAAAGAGGAATCTGTAACAAACCGTTTGATTACTTAATATTCCCACAATCATTATAACCCCTCTAACTATGATTATATCAACGCCCCTCTTAAGTGATAATTTTTGTGCAAAATTATCTTTATGCAAGACTTTTTCTACTCGATCATTTTTTCCTACGCAAAAAATTGACTGAATAGCAAAGTAAATCTAGGCACCCAAAATTAGAAGAATTACTGTCAAAATTTGGCAACGTCGAGTTTAGCTGACATTGACAATTTGACATTAATTTCACCAAAAAGAAAATAAACAAGTGCGTGAGTGATATTTTGGTACAATGAATCCTGTTTACGATTTTATTCAGAAAAATCGAGTGTTAGCATTGATAGAAAAAGCCCAGAAAACGAGTGCGCGTAACTTAGCTCTAGATGATTTCGATTTAACGTGTTTCCCGGACGTTCTAGTGGGTTGTCAAGGTCTATACTCCCTGAACTTAGGCCACAATAGTATTATATGTATACCATTTGAGATTTCACAGTTAAAAAATTTACAACATTTGTCTTTAGAGTATAATAATTTAGATAGATTTCCCGAAGCTTTAAGGAACCTTACCCAGTTGATAACACTGAATATTAGCCACAATCCTATGCACGAATTGAGCAGTAGCATAGGGTGCTTGGTTTCATTAGAAATATTATGGTGCAATAGCTGCTTGTTAACCCAAATCCCAGACGAAATAGGTAATTTATGGAGACTACAAACCCTAGGTGCAAGGCACAATAAAATTACCAGCTTGCCAATTAGGATTTGCGAGTTGATTAATTTACAGTAAGTAGTTTTTTTTCTTCCAGACCTGCACATTAATATGCAAATAATTTTTAATTTATGTCTGTCATGAGAAAGTTTTTATCAAGCGAAAGTTTCGCTATTGTGTAACGTCACGTCACTTTCTTTTTATCAAGTCATTGACTTTACATTCATTTTTCCAGGTGGTTAACATTAGAAGATAACAATTTAAGCAGCGTTCCCAAATATTTCGATAATCTACAAATGCTGAGGCACATAAATTTCAACAAGAACAATTTCAGCACCTTACCCTACAAATTCTCAAACTTAAAAAACTTAAAGTACTTACATTTACAAAATAACGAGTTCTTCTCCTTGCCGGAGAGGACCATCTTTGCAATGCCCTTCACCAACATAAATCTGCAGCACAATCCATTACAACTGGAAGATAACAAAGTAATTTAGTGATCATGACGAGATTGAATTGTGGTTTATTATTGATTTTTTAGATGTTTCCAAACGTTGTTATAACTGGAATGGAAGATGAAATACTCGATATGTTTGGATACGATTCCGATTCAAGTTCAGATGATTGGGATCATAGCTTAGACAGTACCGATTTGAACTATTCAGCCACAGACGAAGACAGTGATAACGAGAACCGAGAAGTTGTATCCCACATACCTTTGCTATCAAAATTTTTACTCTCATGTTAATTATCATATATGTATAATCAAAAAATATATATCGGCAGACCATACCTCACAATTGAGCGCAATTATAACGTGAGCATATATTTTTTTTTAAATATTTAGTCAATGATTGTAGTTCAATTGGTGCAATTGGTTTGCTCTAATCTTTATGTTGTAATATTGTATGTAATCAAAACATCTATTCTTTTTCGAATTGAAAATCAGTGTTTCTTGTCATTTATTGCATGTAATCGTATTATGCAAATAAAACAAAATATATAATTAGTTTTAAATTATTTACCTTACCTAATAATTTGATATAAATGAACAATAATAAAATTTGTTACTATTTACTACAGAATTTAAACATACTGATCTGGTGTTAAAAGTGTTGCATAACCAGAATTACTTGAAAAAAAAAAAGAAGAAGAATTAAACGATATGGCAACAGCGCGGAATATTCCTCTACTTAGAGTTTACAAATTTTATAATTTAACGGTTATCTTGTTTTCATAAACATAAATAAACTCGCCTAAAAGTAATATAAATAGTTAACTGTGTAATACCATTTTACTAATATAACATTTTTTAGATGTCTCTAAACGACTACGAGCAAGTAAACATTCTGGGCAGCAGCAATACATCAACAATATTCAAAATAAGGCATAAAACTTCTGGTCAATTTTACGTGTGGTATGTTATCGACTACGAAACATTCAGTAATCACCAACTAGTGAATATCGAAGAGAAGTTTCTAATAAGAAGCGAAATGCATCACCCGAATTTGCTGGAATTTCACGAAGTTATAAAAGAAAAATCATGCATGTACTTGCTAGTGAAATACTGCAAACAAGGCAGCTTGAAAGATCTTATGTGTAAGATTACGAACGAAAACAAACGATTTTCCGAAGAGTTTCTGTGCAAAATAATATATCAAATAGCATTCACCATCAAAACTATTAATCTTCTATCAAACATTAGCATCAAGGACATTTATTTCGATGATGATTATAACGTGAAGTTCTTTAACTTCAGCATGGATCCCAACGAGAAAAAATTAAAAAGCCCTAAAATATCTTCATTGGGCGGCATTATTTACGAAGCCTGCATGCTCACTAAATTTAACAAAAAGACTTTCGAAAAAGACCTTAAAACCTGCGATATTTATAAGAAAGACTTCTTAACATTCATTCAAACCATGCTGAAAGACAACAGATATTTGAAGAAAAACATCGACAAAATAATGTGCAATGCAACTGTACTATACAAAATCACCCAATGGAATAAACACAAATGCTTCCTACAAATAAACAATGATAAACACTCCGAATACACCGAAAACACATACGCTCAACAACTTGAAAACCTCAAAGAAAAAGAAATACTCCTGCAAAAGAAGGAAGCCTTACTAAAAGAAAAAGAACGCAAACTAACAATTAAAGAAAAACAGCTAGACGAATTAGAGAAACAATTCAGAGACACACTTAAAAGACCCAAAAATTGCCTCTGCTCCGATAAAATACCTAAAGAAAATTTAGACTCGACCTACGCGGACTCCCTAATAGTCCCGACCAGTAAGAAATTAAACGTAAAAGAAATCGTCAAGCCGCCAACATTCTCTCGAACCCTATCAGAGAAAAGGATCCGCTTCAAAGGCCACAGCCCCTTGAAAGACTTCAATTACAACTTCAACAGCAGAAGGAGCCTGAAGTGCGCGAAGTACCGCAAAGCAATCCAACAAAATAGCGACGAAGAGTACAAGAACAACCCCTATAAACTAGGCAAACAATTATTTGTTACTTGCGAAAAGGATATGAAAGTTACGAGTGAGGATGTGAAACCTCTACGATGGACCGAAGAAAACAAAAAGTACGCTTTCGAATTGCTCAGACTTATGAACAAGGAAAATAAAAGTTCGGAAATTAAGCATACAGATTTATAAAATGGGACAAACAGTATTAATCAGTATTAAGTAGGTTGTAGTTACATCAGATTTTGTGATGTTTTGCAATAGTTTAGTGCAATTTTTTATACAATATTCGCTTTATTTTCTGTTATTTAAGATGATTAAGATTTATTATTAACATCGTGCATGCAGTTTATTTCCATATTCAACCTAAAAAACCCTCGTTAACCTTATCTAGATTATAAATGAGGCGATATAAATTAAATTCATAATGTATTTCCGTAACTATCATCTACAATTTGGTTTAAAAGAAAAATCTAAGGCCAGCTTGGTGGCTCGCCGGGCTTCAAGGTTCGACCATACAGGGCGCTTTTGTCGCGGAAAAACGACAGCCTTTCCGTTTCTTTTCTATCTAAGTAAGTACCCAAGGCGAATCCGACGAAGGGGAAAAGCATCATGTAGACTTTTTTAGGTATGATCGGATACATCTTTGCTACGGGCGGCCTGAGCTTTATACAATTGCGTTCGGCTGTAATCAGCGTATATGGTACTGACGACGAATAAAGGAAGAACTGTTACTAGGCAGTACCTTTTGATTAAACGGCCAATTCCTAAGGCCATCTACAAAAAAATTACATAATTTTTTGAGGTTATATCGTATTTAGATTTAATTGGATCAATTCATTAATTGCTTGTAATGTACATATACTTACATAAACAAGGCCCAATTATATTATAGATTATTCCACTGATATTTAAATATGCAAGATTTGCTTTTTTTCGTACAAATATCTAATATTTCCCTTCAAATTTTGGTGAAATTATGACATCTGACATTGACAGATGATTGATTATAAATTTACTCTAAAATAATGGTCTCGACATAAAAGCTCAAGAGTACCCTAACACAAGCAATTTTTTAAACGCAAAATTATTTATCAACATTAGGAATCACTTTTTATTAATCAATATCGTTGAATACATTTCCAAACCATAAAACTAACATAAATAGTAACAGATAACAAAATATTGGCCTGCGATTAGGATGTTGTACAGTCGCATTTCAGGGAACTGGAAAATTGATAAATCTTCTTTACCGTTCGGAAAATAGATGGTAGCAGGAAGGAAACTCGGGTCGAACGACTGATGTTCATAAAGAATTCAAGCGAACAGCTGATTATCCAGCCAGTACAAGTGAAATGACAAGGTTATGTACTGAAGAAAAACGCGATTATGGGGTAGATTTATGTACGATATAAAGATGTTAGTTAGTGTAGAAAATGGCAGATTTAGATCCGAACGATTTTGATCTATTAGAAATAAAAACTCGTAGCATAGAACAAACTCTGCTTCCCCTTGTTAAACAGGTAAAATGCTCTATGGCTGCTCGTGAACACACTCACACAGGGCCCCCACGATAAGTATTTGCATGTGTACTTCCCGTGGGCGTGCTCTTTTGCTTAGCACTGTATATGTCAGTAGTTTTATTAGAATTCTGAATGTTTTATGTGTAATTTATATTTATAACCTGAAAATTTATACAAGAACCATATAAGACTTTAATTTGTCTCAAATACGTTGATAAAATAAGCGCATTTATTAGTTTAATTATATACAACATTAAATATTTAAAAACGTATGTAATCTATATTGGTTTCGTTATCATATTGATTTTTAATTTTCTACATGAATAGGCTTGATAATCCCAACAAAGTCTCATCCAATCTCATAAATAAACGCGGGATTCCCTTGTCAATTTGTCGCAATAGTTTTGCAACACCTTGTACATTAAATTCCTTGTAATTTACCTACAGCTTACAGCGGACAATTAGGCAAACCACTCGGGAAAATTCTAAGGCAATTAGTTTAACTATCCGGGCTCATTATGACACAAGAGAAAGACGTATGCAAATTAGAAACTCGAGGATTACTTCTTTTTCTTAGTTATCTTTCGCTGGGCTTTCGTGCTCTCGACTCGGTCAATTTTATTTACAATTAAAAGGATAAGAGTAGGTTAAAATAACAAAAATTATTCCACATTTTCACCTTTTAAATTTCCGTGGGAATTAATCTTAAAAGTTCACCTCCGGAGTGTAATGGAAATTTCGTTGAATTATGTCGAATTTCGGTCGGGTAATCCCCGTCCCGGCGCCGGCACCCGCCCGCGGGGTTACGTTGACACAAACCGGAGCGAAGGTCGCGCTTTAGTTTTTAGTTAATCCGAATTTTCGCTAATAAGGGGCCGGGCACCGGGATTGCTCGCTATTAATTTAACCGGCGTTCGTTAGCGGATGGGACAATTCTTCGGGGACGTGTAAAGGCAAATTTGTATAACATATTTCCAGGGCATCCGAAATAAATTTCCTCGACATCGAGATCGGTTTATAAATAAAACACATCGAATCCCATCAGAGCGAATAACTTATTCAGGTGTGGAGGCAATCCTGAATTTTATTTTAGACACATATACATACGCCTCCTCGAAAAACTGTATGTATAAACCGAAATGTGGGTTTCAACAAAAATCAGGAGAACCCGCCTTTATCGACGAAATACTTTTTACGCGCGATGAAAAACAGCGGGGGATCCTAAATTTCGAAAAAAAAACCCTTAGACGATAAATTTAGTTATAAAGAGGCTTGTTATACGATGCCGTAAAAGCCGGCTCACTGGCAGTCCCCAGCACTCCTGTCGGAATAATATTTTCACCAAATGCAACATAAAAAAGTACCTTCTACTAATATTTGACGTACAAAGAGCCCAGCAGTAATTTTTTATGTACCTTCTAAACGACGAGCGAGATAAGAGGATTCACTAACGTGGATTTTGTTCTGCCTCAGTTTTTGTTCCACTTAGAAGCGATTAAGCGCTGTATTCTTCTATACAGGACCATTTTTTGGAATTATGTATGTACAGGTTATTATCAAAAAGATTGGTAATAAACATACTCGTAATGGGAATCCCATCTGAGCTTTTTTTTCATCTGAGATTTTTCATCTGAGCTTCCCAGGAACAGACGATTCTATACATAAATCATGCGAATCGTGAAAAGCCAATCCTTAAGCAGTTTTCTCTACACAAATAAAAGCAGTTCCACAAAGAGAAGTTTACTAGAAGAGGAGCAAAAAACTTCCACGTCCATTTCGAAAATAAACAGGAAGTTTATTATGGATTTTCGTTATCTCTACATTTCAACGATTTTATGAGTACATGGCGGAAAAATGCACACAATACGAATACGAAGGATAAGAAAATGGCCGTCACGAACGCCACATCCAGAGATAAAACGTAAAAGAGCCCAGGTTCTTAAAAAGCGAAACGGGAATATATAGAGCGCCGAACGCGGAGGCTTCTATTCATCATAGACGTTTGAATACGTTCGTAGGCGATGAAAATGGTAATTGAACGTCTTCCCATTCAACAATTTCAGTCGTGTTGTTCGCCTTCCAACTTACTTGAAGCGCGGAGGCGTCGAGATAGTTCCGTCGTACCGGGATAACGAGAAAACAAATTTAATTTGAAATCGAACGCTTATTTTTAAATAGACCGTACCTTAGAGTTAAGGAGCCGGTCTTGGCGTCTCGGAGGACAGGTTAGATTAAAAGCATGCCGATGCATCGAATGAACGTTGATTATAACGGGTGATATTCCGCTCTCTAGACAGCATTATAGTGAAGAAACGTAAAACGAGATTATAAAAGCCGAGGCGCATTTATAGTTCCACCCCAAACACCAGCGCTTTTAAAGTTTGTTGAAAAACGAGCATTTCGCGAACGCAGGCTGTTAAAAGTTGTCAACGATGTTGACTGGTATAAAAAAAAGTTTGGCAAACAAACACCATCAGGCATCAGGCCATTATAGTAAACTGATAAAACTATTGGACGCGCCGTTTCTCTCACGTGGCAATTAGTTATGAAAAACGAAACGAAAACTTTATTAACCTCGTATTCGAAAATTATATTTGTACGGAGGCTCATCCTAACTGGATTCGAGCAAAAAAGTGGATAACGAACGAGGAAGCCATTAAGCTCCGGTTTCCTTATTTGAATAAACAAAAACTCCGGGCGCCATAACAAACGTCTCGCCCAATTAACTCCCTACAAACCGGTATTATATTTCTACCTATACTTCGCTTGCTCTTTTAAATCAAATCCAATGCGACCATCGTTAGTAAAATATAATAAGGATGCTTATAATAATAAAATAAAAATATAAATGGAAAGATGCCGGTACATTCGAACAACTAATATGCAATCCTTTAAAAGGTCTCTTTTTGATCGGTTTCAAATCCATCTCTTCCAAATTCTGCACGTCGATTTCGCTACCGCACAAACCCTCGTAACTCAACGTGCAACCCGTTCCTTCGGGACAATTCGAGCAAGGTTCACCTAGCAAAACTACCAACATGGACGCACCTGTGAATACAACAATCTCCCCGACTTACCGATTTTATACACCGGCTGACCCGGTAGGTTCCCCATGGGGCCGTAATTGCAGATGAAGTGCTCGTGATAGGAGGTGTTCCCTCTGCCTTGGGTTTGCTGGAACACCACCCTGGCGCAGCCGATTTGATACGTTTCCGCCCACACCAGTTGGGTGTACTGTCGAAGGGGGCTCACCAAACTGAAATTTAAAAGTCAAATAAAGGAGAGGATGAAATTGTTTGGTTCAAATTAAGCACGTAATAGTGGGAGTTTTTATTTTTAATTAAAGGACCTTTAGAGCGAAGTGTCGAGTTTTACTACGTAGATTAAAGTTGGAATTTGCTCGTTAGTTCAACGTTCGAGTGAATGAAAGTTATAAATTACCTTGCACTTTGATGCTAAAAGGGGTCTGTAATTTTAATGAAAAGCCGAGTAATTGGAGCGTTTCGACTTGTTTTATACGTTCATAAAAAAAAACTCACGAATATTGAAATGAATTGATGTCATCTTCGCCTACGTACTGGACCAAATCGTACCATCCGATAATAAAAGACATATCGCTGTTGATGGCGAAATTTCCTTTGGCGATGTTTTGCCCGACTGGGTACTTCAGGGTGTCCCTGCACAAATCGTGGGCGAAAATGCACTGGGACGCCCATCTGTGGGCGACCAAAGCCAAATCGGCGTCCCATTCCAGCTTCCGCATGTTGGACGCCATGGGCTGAGGACCCGGATTGCCTCTCTCCTCGTTGCCCAAGGCCACTTTGTTGCGTATCTGAAAACGGTTTACAGTCTGTTAGTTCCACCTACTGCTTTTGGTAAATACCGTATTGTGGGCGTCTAAAATAACGTCTATTTCTTCCTGGACGAAGGGAATGTCCAGGAAACCCTTGCAACCAGGCCCGGACATGCCGGTCTGGTAAATGCACATGGTGTGCTTTCCGCAAACTTTCGTCAACGTACTCGTTGTCGTGTCTATGCAACATATTAGGCAATAGGGGTTTTTCGGGTAGATGCGGTTCGTGAAGTTTTTGAACCACTTTTTAGTGGCGTTCCTTGTGAGGTACAACAACGCCTCGTCCGCGGTAGTTGGGGAAATAAAACAGTAAAATATAATAAAGCAGTTGTAAATATTCATGACTTTGACAGCATTTTGATTGACGGTCCAGAATAATTTATTTAGAAGAAGAATTTGTTTAGTTTTTACCTAAAAAAACTTTAGCTCAAAGTATATAAACGTTAGTTTAAATGATGCTCATTATTAGAATATTTTAAGGAATCAAAGCGATGATAATTAGTATCAAAATTGATGGTGATTGCAAACCGCATTAAGTATTATCCCTAAAGCTTAATCAGAAACTCCAACTTTCGCTGGAATTTGCATTTTAAGCGTTTCCTCTTCCGGCCCGCAGGTATTATCCCAAAAAATATTCAAATTATTCACGGTGAACGCAATTTCATTTTACCTTCGAATGGAAACTTGGAACTTCAACTTCAAATAAAGGCCAACTTATATTTTGGCGAATTTACGCTCGAATTATTCCGGAGAGGCCGCAATTTTTGATGTAGCTAACAAACAAGGTGAAATAAAAAAGTTTCCTAAATCCTATTCGAAGGTAGTTTAAAATTTTAAATTACTTCCTATTCATAAAAATCAGCCGTTAAACTCCATAAAAATTAATGAACGTTAAAGTCCAGAATTTCCTTGAATTTCAAGTTTCATTGAATTCATTGATGCAGATGCTTTGCAGTTTAATCAGGGTAAATTCGAGATTCGAGTGGTATCGGAAAAATGAGGGTCATTATCCGCTGAAATGGCTGAAAATAATCCACGACAGGATTTTCCATACCGGCGCGTTTATAAAGACGCTAAATTCTCTGTATAGAGAAGAGCTCGAGATGTCAAATCATACAGGTCAGTGAATGTAAGAATCGAAAGGCTCTAATCGAAGAGTGTAAAGCTTTTGAGCTCCATATTTCATCTCGTCACTCGAACGCCATCCAGAAAATATTGTTGTTCGTAAGATCAAGCGAATTCCAAATAGCACCGCGAGAATACGTATAAGTACGTTTAATAAAGCAATTTCTAATTGCTCGACGACGAATATAAATTCCCCAACTTGTGGCGGATTATTTGTGGACCTGTTAAGACGGTTGTAAGAGAGATGAATTGCCGAGGAGCTCCTTGATTACAGTTCTAATAGAAATTTTCTCCCGTCCTCCGGAGTTATTACTATGTAAATCATGAGAACGTCGTTTTCGGTTGCGGATAGTTCGTCGGAAGAATTTCTAATTGAAAATATCGATCATCGTTTTAATGGACGATTCGTCTAAAATCCGCAGTACAAACAGACAAATAGAGACTCGTGCATTTATTAATATTTCATTTTAATAACAGAGTTATATGTATTGATTCGAATAGTATACCTAAACAGTGTGATTCGTTAAAGTGCTAATAAAAATGTTGGTTTAACCGAGCTAATGATGCATCCTGTATATGCTAATATCGATTCGAGTTAATAATACACTTTTCGCTAAAATTTCCGTTACGTTTACATCGCATTTCAGCTATAGCGGTATCGCTATTTTCGTTCCGATTGTACCCTGGTTCTTCGAACGTAAATTTTCAATTTTTTAGCACGTTTTTAATTAAACTCATTGCGCTGCACAGCGAATTTCCGAACTGTGAAATATCGATTCGTTCGTTTTGCGAATTCCGGAACTTCCTATGCATAACATATATCGGTTTAATCGAGCCAGTTTTAAGTTGACTCTTCTCATTAGAGTTCCGCTTTTTTCCAGCGGGAGTCGAATTATCCAGGGATTTCCACACCGGCGCTACATTCGCTACAATAAATTGATAGATAGATTCGAGTGAATGTGTCAGAAATTTTCCGCATGTCGACTTTTCCTTTGGCGCCCTTCCAATAAGAAACAAATGGAACGGTCGAAACACCAGTTGACTAGCCTCTAATAAATAAGTAATTTCCATTTACAGAACGATTCATCGTTTGGTTAATATTTTAAAAAATCTTTCGTACATCAATAAAACTTTCCAACACCTTCATAACGAGCGTTGAAGATGTTGTAAATCGCTCCGATTCCTTTGCTCTTCGCTCTTCTGAGCTCGTTCTATTTTTTTGATTTAGAGCCGAAAGGGACGCCCCTAAACGGTTTCCGTCGATAAATCGTCGAAATCCACGCACAATTCCACGAGGTAAAACTTATTTTCATTATCGAATAAAGCCGTCGATGTCTTCTCAAATTTCTAATCTGGCAGGAATTCGCGCTCCGGTTCGTGCCCGGAATACGCAAGCATTACGTTCAAACGAATCCTATATAGATTATTTTCCCGAAATTCGAACCCTTTTAGAGGTGAATTTAAATCTACGTTGTCATTAAATCGCACAGAAATTCGATACGCCATCGCTGAAAAAACTGTTATTACAGCAACATCCAGGAACAGATAAAGCCAGATCGACAAATCAAACAAGTGGCGTGTGTGCATGTGCATTAGTGCATGAGTGTCTGTATATAGGTAGGTTATACATTTAACTTAACGTAATGCTTTAATACTTGTGCAAGGTAAAGGACGGGAGCGATTCCAAGCTGGAGTATTATCTACAGGCGGGATAATAACCGAAATTACGGGGGACTTGCGCGAGTTCTTGGCGCGAACTCCCGTTGATCAATAGGGACGCCGATGTCCCGGTCTCGAATCTCGAGTGCCACTGCAGTAAGCATAGAGATGGGACGCTTTCGGTTCCAATTTAAACGTTACATTACAGTTTCGCCCGGGTATTATACACCAATGTTCCTGCTGAGTCTAGTGGAAAATTGTAAAGATGGTAATACAATACCAGTACGAAATGATGTAATATTCTTTTTGGTGTATCTTTTGAATATTCAGACTAAAATTGAACAATTATTTCATTTTCCTGCTTTCTTTATATGAACCGTTTCAATCCTAAAAAAACTAGAATAATATAACACTAACTAACCCAATTTTAATTTCTTTCTTCACATTCCTGCTGATATCATCACATTTCGTGCATTTACAAGATTGCCTACTTAGACCGTTTCAATCTCAGAAAACCATTTCGTATCCGTAAATCTCCAGATGGTCTCCAACTGGCACTTACCGAGCCTCAGTGGTGTGAGCTCCCGGGGAACCAATCGGGATAACGTGCGCTCCTTCATTTCCTTCCCTCTAGCTACTGTTCTTTGATAACGGCCGGATAAATAACGAAACCGTCGCCGTGCGTTTAGTAGTCTTCCCGGAGCGGCCGTACACGACGGTTCACTCCGCCGCCGTTCTTCCATTTATAATTTATTATTTAATAATTTGAGACCCGGCGAATGAAATGCAACACGATGAAGCAGACCGAACGGGGCCTCCGAATCGAACGCGTCGCAACGTCGAGCGCCCCGCAGCTTTAGAGTAACGAAACAAAGAGAAAAACGTGTTCTTTTTTACCGCTCGTTATATACACCTGTTAGAATTGACGACCAATATCGCAAAAGAGGTCGTCGATTAAATATTAAGTTACCGAAATTTTTGATACGTAAGTTGATAATGAAATGAAACACCAAATAGATAATCAACGAGTGCATGTATAAAAATAATTGTTTAGATTTTTCATTAAACTAGAGTGAGCTTAAATAAATTTTAAATCGTCGTTCGAAACAAAGAAGATAACAATAATAATAATCATACGTACCTTAACTGTTGTGATAATAAATAGCAGTAATTTTATATCGTTCATTAGATTAATATCATAAACGTAGACATATCAGACGTTTAGAGCTTCAACTAGTCGATTAGAATTAAAGAAAAATAAATTTTACGATAATAAGTAGAACTTTAGATGAATGTGTCGTCGTTACATATCCAAATAGAACTGTTTAAATGATAATAATTGTAATAATAAACGAAGCGTTCGAATGCGCGCGGTTGTAATATAAAGAGTGGCCGTACAACAGCTTTCGACGAGACCATCATGAGCTTGAACAGGTCATGCTTGTCCAACAGAACAGTGAATGGCAAGGTAAATGTTTATTTTATTTCACCTAATTAATTCATGTTTGTACAATAAAAATATGCGGCAAACTCGATTCGAAATTCAAATCGAATAATGAGTTTGTCGGGTTTAAAAAGTTTTACCAGATTAGCTCTATTGATATTTTATTAAACGGCGAGTAAGCAAAGGGGAAAGATTAGATTGTGCATTAATCTTTTAAAGATTACTGTAAAAGGAGAGTGTAAGATACAGTGATTAATTTAAATTTAAAGTAAATTTCCAGCAATCGTTATTGAAATTGGACCTATGAAATTCGAGAATTTTAGATTTGTATTAAAATTCCCTATAAAATTGCAATAGTTTATAAATCTAGGCTAGGTTTAAATCAGAATATAATTAATCTTAAATTGGTTTAAAACAATAAATATATTTAAAGTATAAAATTTATTTGTAAAATACTTGTGTAAAGTCCGTTAAAAATTAATAGGTATTTAGAATAGCTTAAGGAGTGCCCAGCATTAATAGTCCGATTGATAAAATTTAAATACTTGTCGACGCGAGTATAAACCGCGGGATTACCGGAAGCGCATCCATCACCGGTAATATAAGATGCAATTCCGATTTGTTCGTCCTGGCAAATCAAAGGCCCCCCGGAGTCGCCGTAACAGACATCCTTCTGAGTAGTCGAGTCGATGCAAATCTTATAATCGAGACCTTCCCTTAAAAACGAGTGCGGTATTTTGTTTTTGCAAACATCCTTCTTCAAAATGCCGATATCCAAGCACTGCACCTTTTTGGGACTCGACCTGGAATATTTATTGAAAAACCCGAAACCGACGGCCGTCGCGCTGTCGCAGGAATCGGCAAGTTGCTTATTATTTAGCAACTGCAAGTTGATGTAACGAAAATGCGAGTTGGCTTTCAACGGCTTGGATAGCTTCATTAGAGCTATATCGTTTGTGATCAAATTACTGTCGTACCTTGGATGCAAGTAGATACTTTGTACGTTCACTACTGGACACGACCACTTCAAAAAACCATCCGGATGCACACATTTATCTAAAAGTAGTTACGGATTGACTTAACTCAATTGTAACAAGAGATGTCTAGGAGATTTACCTCTGATGTACGCAGGACTTGCATAGTAAAACGTGCAACTGACTTTACAATGCGCCGCTGTTAACAACCATCTCGGGTTCAACAAACTAGCAGAACAAATGGGCATTCCCCAGAAACTGGTCAAAGCAATTCCGTACTGTCCTTTGCTATCTTCGCAGGAATAGCCTCCGATAACGCGAGTTTCTACGTTATTTACCTGCTGTTGTATTCGCTCGCAAAACATTAATATTATCAAAATAGACTCGATTAACATTTTTAATTTACGTAAACGTCAATTTCATAGTTGTAGTAATTTTTCACCTTGACAAATATCATGTATACTCCACACTAAACTTTACTCAAAAATAACAGATAAGTAAAACCAAAATTTATTAGTAAAATCCAAACATTTAAAATTAATAAATATTTAGCATAGTTAAGAGAAAACCCGCCATTAGTGAGAGTATGATTGATAAAATCTAGGTACTTATCGACGCGAGTATAAACCGCAGGACTACCGGAAGCGCAATGACTACCAGTAATGTACGACCCAATACCTATTATTTCGTCCTGGCAAATCAAAGGGCCCCCGGAGTCGCCGTAACAAACATCCTTCTGCGAGGTCGAGTCGATGCAAATCTTGTGATCAAGCTCTTTTGAGAGCACCGGGGGTATTTTTTCCAGGCAATCGGACGTCTTCATGATACCAATTTCCATGCATCGCACTTCCATGGGATGCGCAGTTTTGGTGAGTTTTCTGAAGAGTCCGAAACCGACTGCGGTCGCCTTGCTACAGGAATCGGCGATTTGCTTGTTGCTACCCAAGTCTAATTTAACGTACTGCAAACGCGGGCTCTCCTTGAATGGTTTGGATAGCTTCATCAGAGCTATGTCGTTGACAACATAGCGAATATCGTATTTTGGATGCAGGTAGATGCTTTCTACGGACACCACGGGACAAGACCACGACAACCAACCGTCTGAGTCTATGTATTTATCTAAAAATGATTAGGAATGGACAGGAGATGTCTAATTTGGTTTGGAAATTTACCTCTGATATAAGCGGGACTGGCGTAGAAAATCGCGTATGCGACTTTACAATGGGCTGCTGTTAATAACCATGATGGGTTCAACATGCTGGCAGAACAAATCGGCATTCCCCAGAAACTTGTCAAAGCAATCCCGTATTGTCCATGGCCTGTACCGCAGGCATATCCTCCGACTATACGCTTTTCTACTTTTGTGTCCTTTTGCAGGCTGTACTTGTCGCATAATAGTATCATCAAAATCCACTTAATTAACATATTTCATTTAGGTGCACAATTTATAATGTCAATAATTTGGTAATACTTTGGGGATTTTTCTTATTGACAAATATCTGATAATAATCGTTATTTTTATTATACAGTGCCTTATTAATTAAAGTATTCTAACCTACGTGATTTCAAACCCAATATAATTAAGTGGTGTGAATGGTTCTTTATTCCAAATAACCGTAATAATGCTATTAAAAAACGTTAATGAAGACTCTGCACAACGGTACTCTTGAAATTATTTTCGTTAATTGTTCGTTCTTTATCAACCTAACGAAGTTACTTTTCCCGTTTCGTGCTCGTTGTGTGGGAGCTTTAAAATCCCATTGAGGTAGTTAAAAAACCAATTCGCAATCCAGGATTACGTTTAAAAATAACGTGGCCTGTACTGATAACATCGCGGGGGATTTGGAGCTTCGCCGAACGTAAAAACCTTGTTATCAAATTGTATATTACACGCTCCGCAGTCTACGAAATAGGGGTTTATTTTTGGATTCTTATATGTCGGTATCGGATTTTCCTATATGTCGGTATCGGATTTTCCTATATGTCGGTATCGGATTTTCCTATTTTGACCTATCCACGAGTCGTATCTTGGAAATTTAATGTAGAAAAATTCGCATATTTTGTGAAAATAGTAAAATATCCAATTTTCGATCCGGCGCCGGATATTCAAATGGTATTTTGCTTCCTCATTCGCCGCTTTTTTGAGCTCTAAAGAATAAATTTATTCGCTTATTGACAGTCTAGTTTGGGGGATGAAATGTAAATTTGTCGCTCTACATTTTTTTCAATTTTACCTTCTTCCTTTTCCAAATCGTTAAATTCCGATAAAAGCAATTTTTGGATAATACCCAGAAGCATTGATCGATATAGAAATAGGAATTTACCTGTAAAATTATACCTTTTAAACAAAATTTAAATCGATACTAAATTATACAATTGTACCAATTAGAGTATGTAATGAATATTATTCGAGCATAATATATTAATAAAATAATTCATGTATTTTTCGTTATCGAACTTCAAACAGAGTTTAATGACCATGAATAATCCTATACAACCACTTTTCATTAGCATTCCAATATTTCCAATTTAATAAATATATTTATTCGATAAATAATATGTATAAAAGTAAGTTTAAAATTAGCAAATAATTAGGAGAAACATTCGTAAAGCCGCTGCTAATAGTATGATTAATAAAATCCAAGTATTTATCGACTCGAGTAAAAACGGCCGGTCTACCAGTAGCACAATACTTGCCCCCAACGTAGGAAGCGATCCCGATCTGTTTTCCCTGGCAAATCAAAGGCCCCCCGGAATCACCGTAGCAAACATCCTTATCCTCATTCGAATCGATGCAAATCTTAAATTCCATGCCCTGCGTCATAAAAACAGGCAGCCTTTTCGTGCATGTTTCTTTATTCATGATACCGATGTCCATGCATTGCACATTCTTCGGCTTGACGGTGGAATATTTCTTGAATGTACCGAAACCCACGGCAGTCCCGTCCGTGCAGGAATCCGTAATATCGCTGTCACCATCGTAATTCAGCGGCATGAATTGCACCTTCTTATTCTCGTACAATCGATTCGATAACTTCATCAGAGATATATCGTGGATGATGAGGCGATTGTCGTATTGTGGATGGGTGTAGACACTTTCTATGGGTGTTACGGGACACCACCAAGACAACCAACCATCGGAATCAACGTACTCGTCTACAATATTATGAATTATGTATCCGTATAGATTTTTGGCTACCCAGTTTTTACTAGGAGTGTATTGAGTTTAGAATGTAGATAAAATTTGCTTGTATTAAAGCGAAAATTTACCTCTAATGTAAGCAGGAGTGGCATAGAAACGGGTGTAGCCGATGTTGCAATGCGCTGCAGTTAATATCCATCTGGAATTCAACAAGCTGGCGCTGCAAATGGGTAAACCCCAGAAGCTGGTTATGGACACCACGTATTTTCCTTTATCAGCTAGACACGAATAGCCTCCGATTATTTCTTGCTCTATATTCACTCTACTATTATCTAATTCAGTTTGGTGTTCTACTGCATCGTTGCGGTTTGCATAAGTTAATAAAACCAATATCGACGTAATAAGCATAATATTTTTCTAATTTAACTATTCATGTCGGTTGATTTGACATTTATCAGCGACTTTTATGTTGTCAGTCTCTTCGCTATACTGACATTAATTACTTAATATTATAGTAAATGCCATATTGCATTTACCACAATTTAAATACAAAATATGATGAAATAAAATGGGCCAATTTTGGTCATGATTTTGTTTTAAACAAAAATAAACTTTATTTTGAATGAAAAGAAGCACAAAAAATATGCAAATATACGACAGAAACGCGCAATTTTCTGCTTCCATAAATAACACGAATTATTTTCCACCGAAATGTAGTCAAGCAAAATAAAATAAAATAAAAAAGCGCGTTCTCGCCGCCAAAAATTATGGTTCTCTCCGCATATCTCTCGTTGTCATCCCGCAATTATTTACCAACAAAAAAAAGGGAAAAAAGGGCACGAAATAAAAATTAGACAACAAGAGAGACCAAATCCATTGGAACGTTTATCAAACTAGCGGGTTTGAGAAGAAAAATGCTTACTGTCAAGTAACGTTCTAGTTAAACGTGACGTTTATAGATAAGTTGTTCCGAAACAGAAAATGGAAACGTCGTATTTGGTTAGGTAAAAGATTGAAAAAAAATACTAGTATACACTACAGAGTGCGTGCCAAAGTAACTAAAATGTGCTACTAAATATAGTAGTAGAAAATGTAATTCAATTTGCTTGACTTTTGGTCGTGCTTTACGTGATATCCAGACGACTAAAACAATGCATAAATAAACAAACACCATAACAAAGTTTCGTTCGCTAACTTAACTCAACATAAGCCTCGCTTTTCGGTGTTTGACGGATTCGCTCCGACAGGGAAACTTTAATTGTAATATCGGATAAGCTACGCCTCGAGTATTCGCGAATGCACAAAACAATCGAGTTATTTAATCTAAGTTTAGAGGAGTTTCTAGCTGTTTGCGCGCCCCCCGCTCCAACAATCATCCCTATGTAAGGAAATATTTTTGTGTACGTTAGGGAAATTGTGAGACTTCGCGCCCGTCATTCGAGCAACAAGCTACAAGTGAAACTTTATCCAATTTAAATGTACTTTTCGCCTTTCAAAAGGTTATCTGGCTAGATGAAGACGGCTCCAAGTTTTATGGGGAATTTCGAGATGATAATAATATGACTAAAAGCGAAAAAAACGCGATGAAAATTCATATACAAACAAACTCTCGGAAAATTGCTTTTAAATGAAATTTCGTAGGTAATAAAATATCTACAATTCTTCGAATCGGAATACGCCCGAGGCGTTTCAATTTGAAATTAAATTGAAGAGGAATTAAACGAATTTTGTATCTCCGTCTATTTTTAAATCCCTTTATCTGGCGAAAAATGTACTATATTTTTTATATACGAATATAGAAAGCTTTGCAATACATTAATTACTCTCAAAGCGCACAGGGATTTACAAAATTTTTAATTATTAAATATTACTAAAAGTTTTTATAAAAATATTCCATTAGCGTTCCAAGCATTAATCTTCATGATATATTGTTTTTTAAAGCAACCGAAGGAGGCTTTTTCGTTCGAGTTTGATGGGACAGAATTCAGAATAACCTTTAAGAGTATAATTTATCATCTGCGCATACGGGGTGAATATATTTAGAAATATTCCCTTAATCAACAATAATATACTACATTATGAGAATAAAATGCATTAACGAAATAAAACCACCCTTAAAGCGTTTAAAAAATGCTTAATAATAAATTATCCGTGTAGGCGCATTTTTCGTTAATATAATTTTAGAAGGTATCTTCTGGGATCTTTTTTACGGGATCGTAATACACAATGCTCTCCGGGAAAAGCGGGCTTTCGCGTTATATCGGATCGGGAGCTCGCTTTGTTAATGATCCGGTTGGAACGGGGCCGGAAAAAACGTACTCCTGCTAAAAAAGCCCGGACTGTTTCGCAGCGAAAAATTATCATACAAATGTCGAGAAAAGTGAGGAAATTTTAATGAAAAAATTGGTTGTCTAAACGGTCCGTTTTTTGCGATGGAAACAGAACGTGGAAAGTTATTTTTTTCTACTTGAATTATTGAAGACTTACTTTACGTACAGTTGGATTTTCTCGGAAACTCGGGATATTTAATGTCGTTTTAAAAGTTTTGTTTGGAAAGTTTTCAATTGTGTAATTTTCAAACAATTTGGAGCGCTTATGATATTTTAGGTATAGATACAAAAAGTATTGTTTGTTCGATTTCTATAAATAAGTAATATGGACGGGAATAACAAATTTTATTAATGGGAACTAATAATATACACTGAATTTATTTACCAAATGGACTAATAATGTAGAATTTGTGGTTATATTTAGGTAGAAAATTATTAATTAGCTTTAACAATTTGCCAGCTGGGCACAAAATACAAATAATGATTAATTAATTACGCACTTACGTGAGTAATCAATTATTTCGCCATCGAAATAATCAATTACTCCTGCGGGCTTTTCATGAATGTTTCATGAAAATATTTCATTATATTCTATTTTTCGCGCTCACTCAATAATCAAAATTGTTATTAAATATGAATCTCATAATCAAATAAATTCGACAATTATAAAATGCGATTTATTAGTCCACATTAATTAGCATATTCCGGTAAAGAGAAAAGTTGTGCAATGTTATCACTTTGAATTGTAACCTTAGAGGAATTAAAACAATTAGGAAAATTAAAGATTTTTAGGGTGTGAGGAAACCTTCGACATATTAGCTTGCAGCTAACTCGCGCAATCTAGGTATACGTAATTTAATTGCATTAAATAATCGCAACGGTAAATGTACGTAATTCAATCAACCCTGAAATCCAACCTTCGTTTATTCATGCACGTCTTCCTAGCTTCACGATTAAAATATATCCAGTAATAATGCAATTCTAACTAAAAGCGATTGCATTATCAGCCGACTGAATGAATGAATGCACTCTCGTCTAAACCCAATTTACATAGTATTGCATTACTCATAGAGAATTTCTCTGTTTTATATGTATAATTTATACTATACATTGTCATAAAACCGTCGATAACTGCGCCCAACGGATTCACTTTATTATTTTCCCCACCGAAGGAAAAAAATAGCGCTTTACGTGACTGAATTTTCCGAAGATAAAATCGGAGCAAACTAATGCCATTAATGAATCATTGTCCGCGATAGCAGCCGAATTCCGAGCGATAAACCAACGTAGGACAATGAGGACGAGAGGGAGGGCCGGCTCAAAATCGAAGGCTCATTGTCTTCGCCTTGCTACACGACTAGTTTTCAAGAAACGAGACATTTGTAGACATCGGTAATGACAGGAGTCTCCGCCACATAAATCTGAACTTAGCACGAGCTAATTGTGGAAAATGATCGATTTGAGTGTATGAATTTCGATAATTAATACGCTCGATAAAGTGATGGTATTGCGCCTGTAATATATCCTGTATTTTCTACCATCGTCTATCGACATTTATTTCCCTAATAAATTATTAACCGAATTGAATGTTCTTATAAATCAATATACCTACCTACTTCTTGCACATAAAATTACACTGTCTTCTTGCCTATTGTCGTGCTGGATAGTGATCGATATAGTACGTTCGTTTCTCGGTCTGGTCGGGTTAATTTAGTGCAGAGTTTTTGTTGACCTTTGGATGGAATTTATCAGACACATTTGCTGGATATTCATTATAAAAGGGAGAAACCTTTCGCAGTAATTGACCCTCTTCCACCCTTTTGTTTTGGCGTTAAGCCAAAGGGACAGTGACAGTGGTTTATTCGTGATGGATGTGACCGCAATCATTTCGACTTTCTGAAATTGTCCAGTACCGTTTGTCGTACTGTAGTACTTTTAAAAGTAAGAGAAATATAAAAATCATCAACACAAGTAGTGTCAATGTTTAATATATTTTTAATAATCACTATTATTCATGACTTAAATAATTTCTGATGAATTAAAAATGTTATTAGATCAAATTTAGTGCATTAGTTAAAAAATTGCAATTACCACACCACCATATTACTTGTTATTTATTGAATCATTCACCTCAAATTTCTATTATTAAAGCCCAAGATATGAAACATAATATTATACTCGAGGTGGGCGTTTTTAAAAATAACTTCACCGTTACATTCGATATTAATAAAAATTATCGCAATATTTAACACCATTGTGCTAGTAAGTTTTACTTACTATTCTTTAATTTAAACTACTATATTAATCAATAGGATCAATTTATTGCTTTTAGTAAATTAAGTATTATCTATAGACTTTAATAAAAATAACTGTGAAGGTGTGCTTCAAGACAAATTTCGTTATGACCTGTGAAAAAGCATTTTCAACAACTCGTTAGTCTTGCATAAGCGACTGTAAATCTTGCAAATTGTTGCATGCTGGAATAAAGCTGTTGCGTGTTAACGATATCGGCGAAATTAACGAGAAATATTCGAATTTATTGCTTAATATAATTATAGTATTTTCCCGTAAAACCGTTTACGACGAATAAAATAAATAATAAATACGTCGTATCGACTAATATTTGTAACCATAAATCGAGTTTACAATCCCTTTCACAAATTTTTATTGGTCGAAAATCGAAGCGGCAAAATCTATTTAGGTTCCTATGTAAAATTTAAATGAAATTTACATGCAGAATACATAAATCCGATTGTATCTTCAGGGCTTTAATTTCTGGGTTATTCGAAACAAAAAAGCTGGAAATTCATATTGATAATTCAATTCCATCCGAACTACTCTCACGGAATTAATGAAAACTTTTAGCGTACATAAAACTAATTTTAAACTCGATATTTCCCTCTCGTTTTACTCTAAAATGGACAAAGTTTAAAATAGAATTACAATCCACGTAAGGAGCTAAATGATGTTAGGATACAGTAATCTAATAACGAACCTTTGAAAGGATTCGCATCTCGCATCGTAATTAAAATAAGCTTCCTGTACTTTCACACTAAACCGAAATATATTTGTTACCGATTTCTCAAGATAATTTATTACCTACCCACAATCCCTTCATAGAACATATCGGCTCGAAGGACCAAACACCAGCAATCGATAGTGGGGGAAGTTGAACGGAGAAAGAAACAATTTCACCGGATAACAAAGGGAGAAATACTTATTGGTTTATGTTTCAGATTTCGTCTCTAATAGAGCATGGCGGCGCTTCGACTCTTCGACCGGGGGCGGTGGCGAGGGTCGGACAAGCCGTCAACTTGGCCGTGGAGAGGTTCGTGACGGTGGGTGAAACGATTGCCGATGATTATCCGGAAGTACGACAGGGAATGTACGAAGCGTGCAAAGAGGCAAGGCAAGCCGGTAAGCATTTGAGGTTATGTGTGTGTTATACAAGGCTACCAACTGTGATTAACGATACAACGTTTCGTCATAAATGAACCGACGTATAGCAGAAAGGGCGAGGGTTGCGGGATTAATAGGTCCGTTGAAAATTAGAATTTCCTAATTGTAAAGTTTTAGTTCTCCAATGTGCTTAACGACACAATAAAGCCTAGAGTTTAACGACAATTTTCAAACATAGACTGGATTTCCTGAATTATTAGAAACTCCCATTGAAGAGTTAACTGAAATTGGACGTAGTTAATCATTAAACGTCAATTTCCTTCCAAAATTTCCACGGAAACGACGAAATTTCTCCGGTGGAAATTAGAAATGCAACGCACGGATTTCTCGAGCGTTTTGTTTTCAAATCCGGCCCGTATTCGAAAGGATTATTGGCGAATTCAATGCGGATGTGCCGCCATAAAATGGTGGATTACACGCGGATTAATTGCGTTAAGCATTGTTTATTAACGCGCGTTTTGTTAATATTATATAGGCATACATTTTATAACTGGGTAATAAAGTGAACGAAGCGTTGCGGCTTTAGATGTGCAATCGAGCGAGCAGTAATTAGTCGGCGATCGACTAGGTAAATTGCGGATTTGCATCACAAAAACGGGCAAAATTGAAAAATCACCGCGGAAATTCGCGTGATGAATTAGATAATAATGAGCGTAACGCCCAGGAAATTGTTTCAATGGAACGCTAATTGCGAAAAAATAACCCAAGCATGAAAATTCTGCATTCATTGCAAAAGTAATCAATTTTTCTAGGTGCGGCAATCGAACACATTTGCGAGTTACACGAAGAAGAAACCACCCCCGATAGAACAATCTTAGTACGAGCCGCCCGGTGCCTTTTGGGCGCCATCACTAGAGTTTTACTTTTGGCAGACATAGTGGTAGTCAAACAACTTTTATTTGCCAAAGAAAAGGTAATACCTAATAACATTTTTAAATTAAATATTAATTACAATCAATAACAACCCCCTTTCGAACAACATAATAATAATGCTTTAACTGGTATAGAAATATTCTCAGAATTTCAAAACTTCACTATAGGTGCTTTTATATTAGAAAACTTTACCTTAGTAAAATATTTTAATAAAAGACCTTGTGAAGTTTTAGTTTTACCTACAATATAAAAGGTAGATAAGGATGTAGAACGATTTTGATCGAGCGTGCATTATTTTGCAGGTATCGCATAGTTTGGATCGCTTGGAATCGGTAAATAATTTCACGGAATTCGTGAAAGCTTTCAGTCAGTTCGGCGCTGAGATGGTGGAATTGGCTCATTTGACTGGCGATAGACAAAACGACTTGAAAGACGAGAGACGGCGCGCCCAAATGGCCGCCGCTAGACAGGTCCTGGAGCGGTCCACGATGATGCTATTAACCGCCAGCAAAGTAAGTTTTTATCGTTCCCATCGAAACGGTAAATTGTATCTGGCTTTAATAAAAACCAATTATCTCGCAACGAATATTCGGGAGATGAAAATTGAAAACTGAAAACCGAAGGGTGATCGTGAAATATTAAACGCCGAGCGGTGAGATCCAAAAAAATTTAATATTAGGTTCACGTGGCAAGTGCATTCGCTCATTTTGCCGAATGAAAGTTTCATATCGAATAGGGTTCGATTATTACCTCGGCCATCACTTTAATTTTAGAGCTATAACCACATATATGGTGCTTCCGCGTGTTCCCTAATATACTTTTAGGGAAAATAAAATCATATCCTATATATTTTCCGTATCTTAAGTGATAGCATAAATATTTATAAGTATTAAAAAATCCCTCCTGGACATGGGAGGTCTGTTTTTAAGTAAAATTAATTCCATTTTAATTTTTCTGTAGGCAAGCCTGAGACATCCCGAATGCGGATCGGCGAGGGAAAATCGCGATACCGTTTTTTGTCAAATGAGAAGAGCTATGGATCTTATACATTACGTAGTAAAAGATGGTGTCTTAAATAGTGCCGATTCAAGTGTTCAATCAGTTCATAAAGACGGACTATGCGAAAGCGACAAAGGAACAGCATATGCCTGTATACAGCATTTGCGGTACCTACTAGAACATAGCAAAATCTCTATGGGTAAATATTACACAAGTATAAATTTTTAATTAATTTATCATCGAACATTTTCAGACCCTTCTTGTCAAGAGACACTTCCGACTGCTTTAGAGGCCGTCTTAGAAAGAACTCAGGATTTCACTGACAGTGCCTATACTAGCCATGAGCATAGGGAAGCCATTTTAGAATGTAGTGAAAGACTTAAATCCGAACTAGATCAACTACTAGGTCTTTATGCTAACATAGTGAGCACAACCTCCATTACATCCGAAACTATTTCATTACAAAACTATCTCTTCCAGATGGGTTACGAGGACGTCAACAACTGTCCGGAATTAGATAACTCGATGCAAGTGTGCATCAATTCGTCGAGGGATTTGTCGAGGCATTTGAGTAACGCGGCCGTTCACCAGGCCCAAGACTTGAGCACAGTTACCAAGCAAGGATTGGAACTGATGAGTGCCATTAGACAGGAAGCTACGATGTCGGAAATCGATAGACTGCATCACACCTCAAATGCCTTTCACGATTCCATTGATCACATTTTAGAGGTACACGCGGTCTCTTGCAAATACCCTTATCCTTACGATCTCGTGTTTTTTTTAAGGTTTGCAAACTTCTGAGAAACGTGGCGATAACGGATACGTTCCAAGTGACGGCGAAATTCGCGGAAATAAATCTGCGCGTGTACGGTCCGCAGGTGATAACGGCGGCGAAATGCCTGTCCGCTTATCCCAGCAGCAAAATCGCCCAGGAGAACCTGGAGGTCTTCGCCGACATGTACCAGTGGTTGATATCTGACGTTACCACCGTGGTGAAGGAGGTGGTCGATGCCTGCCAATCGAGGCCGGAAAAGCAGGTGTATATGTCGCTTCCCAGGCCTGGGGTAAGAAGATAAATCGTACATAATAAGATAACGTATCGATCCAGCTTTCGAGACACCTCGTTATTCATTTATGCAAATCCCAAAACATAAAAATTCTGATGTAGAAGAACTCATCAATAATAAACCTTACGACTCCCATTATCTCTCATAATCACGTTTTTATAAGAATTTAGAGTGCGATTTGAGTAACAGTTTGTATATGCCTCGTCAATGAATAAATAATGTACTGCAGGAAACTCAACTTCCACGAAAAAAATTATGCGGTGAGTTTCCAGAACGTATCGACGTTTATTTTCTTGGAAACCTTCTCTGTTTGCTCACCCAATCTGTTCGACATGATGAGCCCCGCTTAAAATACGATCAATCCATCATTATATGCGGGAGTTCCATATCTTAAACGCTTCCGCTCGAACGAGTCCATATTTGCTTATTTGAAATAAAATTGACAAGGGCGAAAGTTTATTTTGCGAAAGAAAAATGGAAAATTTAAGTAGCACGGCGACGAAGAATTTAACTAGGTTGACGGATTTCGCGTAAGGTCGGTCCATTTCATCCCTGCTGGGAAATCCGAATCAATTTTTATTAGCTTGAAAGATTTTGCGGAGCAGTCACATCGGCACCAACATTTTCCTCGCAACGTTGCCGGCTCATTTTTTTCTGACGAATTTTCTTCCAGTTAAAATAGTTATTTGTATTGTTAAATTGCGTTTGTAGTAAAGTTCTAAAGCATACAGGACCCTCTCTCTCTTTTGTGTATGTATATCCCAATACATTTTCCTCATTGTTGTTTTCTTGTGTGGGCGAGCGAGTGTTATCGATTTTATCAGGAAACATTTCGAGGAATAAGCAGTGAATATGGCAACGCTGCAGTGCTATAAGAAGATGTTTTCGTTGTGTAATTTTCAGTTTAATCCAGATTCTGCAACGATTCTCCACAGGAAGATTTTGATTTCCAATTCGCAAAAAAAAACAAAAATGTTTAAGTGGTTAATGTTTTCACAAGTTCGTGAAGATGATGTAAGAACATTCGAATTTTATGATTTAACTAGCCCCATTTTTCTTAAATTATCATAAATTATAGTGATTAATTAATGATGGTTTTCAGAAACACGGAACTACCTCAAAGCCGCTCAAAGCGGTGAGACTGGACGTAGCAGAGCAGGAAAAAATTGCTAAAACAGGCCTGGAAATGAAAATGGCGACAACTGAGATGGATGCTGAAACGGACAAGTGGCAGGAGAGTAACAGTAGCGCTCAAATAGAGGTAACTTAGTCGTAAACTGCTGAGTAAGTTTCCTATAATAACTCAAAATTTCAGGAAAATAATGATATACTCAAAAGAGCGAAAAATATGTCGGCGATGGCTTTCTCCATGTATCAGTTCACGAAAGGAGAAGGTGATTTGAAAACCACGCAAGATTTATTTACGCAGGCCGAGTATTTCGCCGAAGAAGCTAACAGATTGTACAAAGTAATCAGGCAATTTAGCTATCAGGTAATACGCTTATTATTAAATAATTCTTCCTCCTATCTTTAGTACAAAAAACTGCGCCGTTAAAAGATGTACAAATTTGTCACAAAACTGGCAAATTCCGTTCAATTCAAGGTCCCCGTAACAATTTCGGGAAAATCGATAAACAATTTGGCAGCGGAACAGCAAAAAAAAACTTCCCCGTTTACAGTTCTTTTATTATTATTGCTTTGTCGACGACGCCGAATTGGCCAAGAACAACAAAACACTTCCATTTGTGTCCCAGCACCGATTCATCAAAGTCGAATAATTTTGAATTTTAAATCACAACTGTGTAAATTCTTGGCAACTATATCTAGGTGTTTTCCACATGCATTTTGAACTTTTATTGATTATCTTGTTCCTTCTAATATCCTATATCCTATTTTAAATATTCTCTATCTCCAAAATTTTCCTTAATTGATCAACCTTCCGTTTGTCTCTTTTTCTGAAGGAGCATATTCTTATAGGTTCCTTGCGGTGCTAGCAAGAAGGAACTCCTGGCCCATTTGGATAGAGTTCCTACGTTCGTGCAGCGTTTGCAATTCACCGTGAAGGACCACACGGTCGGTAAAGCGGCGACTTTCACAAAAGTCGATAATGTGATACAAGAAACCAAGAATCTTATGAACGTGATTTCTAAAGTGGTGACCACTTGTTTCGAATGCGCCACCAAAGTAAGTATCGCTCCGATTGGGAGAGTTCGATTAGACTGCTTTTGGACACTTTTTTCTCTCCTGCTTTGGCAGTTTATGAGATATTCGACGCGTTTTGTCTATGCACACTTCGTAAGTAATGATTATAATTCATTGAAAAGAAAACTCGTCGAACATCATTTACATTTAGAATATCTTTCCGACGTTCTGATGGAATGTTTTTACTTAATTTAGTTCTCGATAGCGTTACCGCAAAGAGTTAGAATACCATGTGCAAGTTTAGACGGTAGATCATTACATGAGCAGATAAATTCGCAGGACCTACGTAGAATCGTGAATTATCAATTTTCTACACTACCAAGATAATAGATACATACGGTGATTTTCTTTTATCGTATCATCTAACGATCTCATTAACTTTCTAACTCTTTAATGTCTTATTAACAAGCTAGTAATTCGAATAACAAATGGTTATTGGTATAACTTTTATTCGTTTTACTTTTGTTACTGTAACATTTGAAATTAAACACAAAGCACGGAAACTAACCAAATCATTACTTTCTACTGACTGTGTCACTTCTAGTATTTGTAAATTTTTAGATTTAAGATTTGTTGTTAATGAATTGAAAATAATTTGTTTAAATAAGTGCAATTTAACACCATTTTTCGAGCACATTCATGCCTGATTGCATATAAGCTCGCTAACATTTTGCTCTTTTTTGATGAGCATTTGTGCAACCAAGCAATTATTTGTTAATCTTCACATATTACTAATATGTGCATTATGTAACATATCTAAAAAAAGTTATTGTTAAATAACTCATTAAAATATCAACTGTAATCCGCAGGGTTCAGATTAAACACGTTTCTAAACTCGCTCAATATAAAAACGAACTGAACACGACTCAACAGAAAATACCGATTTTTCACTTACTATCTAATTCTATTATCTCTGTACTTTCTTCTGTAGCTTTATTGATTGTGAACTATCTTTTGTTAGCATAATATCGGCCATCCGGACCTTCAAAATCCTATTAATAACGGAGCCGACGATCAGGTTAAAAATTTGATGGTGCTAGTTATTGTATTTGTGTTCGTTTTTAGTTATTGTGAGGTAGTCCAAGTCGTGTGTTTCGTATATTTATTTGCATAAAAATAGTACATGCAGTGAAATCTACTTGAAAGAGTTCATTTTAATGTAGCTTTCTTATCCATGTTTACCCTACAGTTCTCATATTTTGATCAATTCGTAACTGGGAAAAGTTCTCAATTTGGGAAAATTCTGTCAATTTACTTACTCTCGTATAAATATAATAATGTCATGTTGGTTTTTGTTGTTTACATGGGTGTACATATTTCCGTCATTTTGAATTTCCTCGATTTTCTTGAATTCTTTCCTCTATTTACTATTCGCTTTCTCTAGCTTCTTTTGCTGAATATCTTACGTGCATATTTATATACATTTAATTTGCATGTACTAAAATGCTTATTAATATAAATTTAGGTTTTAAATGTTAAATAATAAGGCAATAAATTCCAGTAAAAAAATGGAAAAATTAATATACATTTTTCAATCGGTTTTACGAAAAAAAAATTAGTTAGAGTAGAATTAAGATTGCAAAGTAGTGAATTTTAATTTGAGCATGATTAGAAAAAGTTCACAAACAGACTGATTGAAGAATGTGGAAAATGACTAACATATTTTTATACATACTTAATAATTATTATTTGATTGTAATTAAAATATCTCGTTGGAGAATTAAAATTGTATAAAAATATTAATTTTAACGCTTAAATTGGGTAATTAATTTAGCATCCACCTAATTTTCATTACCCAATTTACGTACGCGAAACTGATCGATTCTTTTTCAGCACACTACCCACTCGAAATAAAAACCAGCTCTACTCTATACAGCTAATTAATGTCCAATTAAATGATAAACACACTCAATTAAACCGAAATTCCTCTAATAAACGCGCTTTTTCAGCTTAATTCCCGCTAGTCTCTTCAGCCTCACTAACGTTCCCGTGTGTGTCTTTCTGTTTAGTACAAACTGGAGTTCCGCGGTGCCGGCGCCGGTTCGAGGAGAGGTTCCGGCGGCGAGGGCGGCTCGTCGAGCGCCGGCGCCAGCGGTGTTGACAGCAAAGGCGGCGGCGCCACCGGCACCGATCAGAGCTTATGACAAATGGGGATGTCCCGGCGCAACAAGGGAGACTCGAGGAGGACTCGGGTCTCCTTCTTGTTGTTCTAGGACGTCGATTTGCTTGAGGATTTGGCTGGCTTGAAGCGATCCGAGGAAGCGCGATCGAGCTGGGATTGCGAACGGAACAAACCTGCGTTAGCTGCGTTTACTTTTCATTAGTTTATTAAATGGCTTGCAAAAGTATTAATGTGTTAATGAGAAATTGGAGTTCCTTTGTTACGTTTAATTGTATGAAGATTTATTTGGAGTTATATTGCTTGTACTGTTTATAGTGCCTCAAAAATACTAAAATAATACTCTGCTAAAGGCTAATTCGTGTGTAAAAATTTAGTTTCTATTATTTCGTTTTTCAAACGATTTATTTGTTACATTGTGCCACAAATTTAAAAATTTTTGATACAAAATGAGTACAATAAAATGTGCCAAATTCGTTAATTTTCTTAAATTTTTCTTCATACGATCTGTGTTTTTTTTCAAAATTCTCGTTATCTAAATGTATACCATTTGGCATTTAAAACTTGTAATTGATAGTAGACAACATCGTTGTCTGTGGTAAAAAAGACTTGTCTATAAACAAACAGCTAGAACATAGTTTTAGTTTCTGATTTTCTAATAGCTCTGTTAATATAATTCAATCGTTTCTTGTTCGTGTCGAAGAAGATGCTTTGTACCTTAATACAATGTTGTTTCTTCATGTTAGGTAAATATAAAATTCTTATATCTATAATCAGATACAAAACATCTTCCTCCCAAGCTAATACATGATTTGCTTTCAAACTAGCAACATAAACAGGAGTTAAACAAAAAACTTCATATTTTCATAGGGTGTATTTGCTGATCGTGTTATTATTAAACAAAATAATATTAAGATTTGTGAGGACAAGTGTGTAGATTAAATAACGTATGTAACTGTCGTCAAACAATCATGAAAATGACTGGAACTTATATACCAATCATTTCTCTTACTCCAACTATTTCTGAACGTTTTTAATGTTGTTTAATACTTTTCTAGTATCCAATAAATAAAGGTTTTAATTGTTAATAAACTAAACTTAAAGTTATACCAGTAAAATGTTCTGTTCAATTTATTGTGGGTGTACTAAAATGTGTTGCTATTTCAGGAGTTTATTGTATCAAATCATTTTGTTTATACTTGTATCATTATTCTTCTGAAAATATTTCAATTCTATTGAAAGGAGTCGAAGTAGGCATTTAACCAATTGAGCATTCCTTTAATTTCTAATAAAGCATTAATAGATAAATACTCGAATTTCCGCGCATCTGAAAGAAATCTATCTACTAGAAATAAATTTAGATATTGTACTAATTATTGGTAAAATCTGATTAATACATGTTGTGCCTGTAAAGTAATAATTACAGTGAGCTACATATAGAGATGTTTATTAAAAAAAATAAATGTATTTTGTTAATGTATGTCGTTTTGTCTGTTATTTTCGTCGAAAAAAAATAGTTCCCATTTTTTAGCACAAAAAATCTCATCGTTGTTACTTAGGAACAAACCAACAATTTATTTTATTACCTACTAAAAAGATTTATATGATTTTACTCGTAGTTCTATTTTTGGTGCTAAAAATGGAATAATGTAGGTACTACATAAGTTTTGTCATAAAACGGAAAGCATTTAGTTATGAAAACTCATTTCAATAAAACAAATAAAATAACCTACTAATGCAATAACAAGCTTTTTATGACGAGACTAAAATGAACCATTTTTATATTCTCGAATTCTTGTTGTACCGGTTTAGCAGTAATTACAAAATAGAAGAAATTGAATATTTTCATGACCAGTAGTTTATAGGTTTTGTACCTTTGAAATTATATACCTATATAATTGTTACAATAATAATAACAAGAGATTGTTTCTGAGAATATGTTGGTGTTCAGGAAATATAATGATCAAGGATCAATAAATATATCTTGATTTAAATATATAATATATAGTGGTCTTATTTCAAACTTACCTATTTTGTACTCTCCAGAAGCCCATTTTAACCGCAATTAGTCCTCGAAAGAATTTAGGCACATTTTTAAGTAAATAAACTAAATAAATCGAAATAACAACACCTAACAAAACCGAAAACTTATAAACTGAGTTAACTGGCAAAAAATTTCAACATTCAAAATTCAAAACAAATGAATAAGCCATTTAAAATTCTTCTTTTTTCATAAAAAAATATTTTTACTTTTGACTCCATGATAAAATAATTTTAGTAAAATGAGAACCTTTAATGAATAACTAACAAATTACGGTAGTAATAATTCATCAATTATTAAAAATATAACATAAATGTTACAATATGTCATAACCAATAGTTACATTTTTTTAAAAACCCTCTTAGTAACAGGCCAAATTTAATCAATATGGATATCTAACCTTACTATTTTGACATTTTGACAATGTTGCGGTTGCGGTATTGTTTTCTTTAATTTCTACGTTGAAATAAGGATAATTAATTAGTAAAGAAATAAAAATTTCTTACTTTTTGTTCTAGTGTAGATTATACCAATTTTTCTGCAGCTATTAAATCTAAAACAACACTGAAATTATCAAGGGTAGTTAAATGGTGATGGTAATTAAAAAAAAATACGAATTATATAATATAAACATGGTTTATTAGATTACTTTTTATGATCAGTTCCTTTGTGTCACACTTCCAAAAATTCGGCATTGTACAAATATATCCATATCTCCATTTTTCCAATTCCTACGTTCTCTCTCTCTCTCGCTTATAAAGTCTTTCGTACGGCCACTAAAAACTTTTCATTAGATTTTAGCACATTAAGTGACTAACATTTAGTTCACAATGATGTAGCTTAAATACACAGGAAAGAGGTACATTCACTACCTTTGTCATACAAAGGATACAAAAAATCGAGCCAATCCTAAGTAGATATATCTAACTTAGTCACTAAAAAATTGAAATCATCGAATGCTAACTAATTCTATAAAAATATCATATAAAGGTAAATTTCGTACGAAAGCACCGCGAATTTAAGAATGAATTCAATTTTTCTAATTGGATTGATTTTTAGTGACCGAGCTTAGAGACATAAGTACTAACTAGAACAATGAAAAGCAAACATTTTTTTACAATAACAAAAATAATATCTAAGTAGACATGGAGCTTTTACTCGCCATCTGCATCACATTTAAAGCCCTTTTGAAATTTTTTTTCATTAGCCATCAAATTTCAAATTGAGCCTTCACTTAATTAATACTTAACTTAGCGTTAATTAATGGTTGTTTTTCTTTAGAATTTAAAATACACTTAAATATTTACATTAATACTGTGTATAGTATATAGATATACATATAAGTAGAAATATGACGAAAGCATCTATATTTGGATTAATATTTACAAATAAGTATAGGTACGTATATGTGGCAGGCTCACAATTAAGGGATGAACTATTAGGGCTGCTCTTGTAGTACAAAATATTATTTGGAACAAAGCTGAATAATTTTTTTAAAGTTATGTGATACCTTTTGTACTATGAAGAGCCGGATGAACTCAATAATGAACAGGCTATTTTGGACCCATTTGTAAAATAAAATTTAGTTAATTAAAACTTGCAATTTCATATTCGAAAAATCTAAAGCTTCAATAACAATAAATTTATGTTGGAATATACACTTGAAATAATCCTGATAATTCTGGTAGCTCGTACGTATACAACAAATAGACGAAATAATATTTAGTGCAAAATGTAATCTGTATTTACAATAGAGGATTTCATGAATTATTGGAAATTTATACAAGCTATACAATACATAATTTAGAAGAACATTTTAATTTTTATTCAAACACAATTTAAAACCAACTTAAAACAAATTCATTCCAATAATTCAATGCTATTAAATAATAAATTTGTATGTAACACACATATTATAATATATCTATCTATTTAAAATATAACACTCAAGATTGCTTGTATTAGTAAAGATATAAGTAGTACTTTTTATTATCTATAAGTAACACAGATATTCAAAACGTAGAGCAATAATGCATTGGCAAAAGTAACAAACGCAAATTTTTACTTCTAATAGAATTTCCTTACAGATAAATAATCTTCTATTCTCATGCATGATAAGTTTAATGGACCGATTTTGAGATTCCTAACAATGTTTTTAGATCAATAGCTACTAATTGTTTCCAAGTTAGAAACACACAAATCCTAAAAGAAGTAAAAATAAATAAAATCGCTCATCAAATTCTACGCTAAAATGAGAAAAAAACGTGCACATCTTAGCATTTCAATATTGACACGAATAAATATTCTTGAAGGTAACGCTTATACAAAGGTGTGTTAACATAATAGTATATGTTTGGTGTGTGCATCCTATCAGTGAGTTTTTTACTTATTTTGTTATTTCATATGGAAAATATATATATAATATATACTTTACGAATATACCTAAAGAGAGCTCGAACGCAATTTAATAAAGAAACTTGAAGAAGACCACGAAAAATATCGGCATTTGGATTCGAGCGAAGCTGCAACTCGTCGCCGCGTTCAACGTGATGCCCAGTATCTCCTGGTGGATGTCGTGCTCTGGAAAACGAATTAAAACAAACGTTATAAAACATTTCAATAAAATTTCGACAACGTATCCATAAAGCTAAATACCCACCGTTAAAGTTATCGGTCTCATATGCTCGGTACCCGTACCCATTACATTTGCCAGAATGTTTCATAAAAATTTTACCGACTATCGTTTAACTTTATTAGCTAGTAACGTTTTACGACGACCTTGACAGTATATATGCAATAACTACGATTTCCAATTAAAGTGATACCTAATAAAATTTTAATAAGGAAATTATTATAAGGTCTGGGGAACGCTACTCACTTCTATATCTTTGAGCTGGAAAGAGTTAATTTATATACCACTTTATTTAAGTAGGTAGATAATATTATTCAATAGAGGAACTGGATAAATCCTGCAATTTATTCACGTGCTACATTAGGATTTAATGGAATAATTTTTAGGTAGTATATTTTTTTTAAATGGCGTCGTCTTTAACGAAATTCTGATAGGTGCCTCTTTATAAATTCATGAAATGCTAACAGAGTAATAATATTTTTGCGTTTGGTTTATGTAGCTATTCATTTGCATTATCGTTATCACCGCGGATTACTAATTTTTTTACCGGCAAAATGGTATTGTTTTGTATTCCCTTTGAACAAGCGTCGCTCTTTGTGATCAAAATATTTTTGTTAACTAGCGAATGTGCCTGCATTTGTTTTACAACCCTTTCCAGTTAAGGCACAAAAACGCGATTTAAAATTAAAATGAATAATTTAGCAGTCTATTACGGATCAGCGGCAAACATATTTTAGAACCAACGATTATTTTCAAATCGACGATCAAACGACCACTTCGAATTCGCCGAACCGCAAGTGAAAAGAGCCTTTATCTAATTCCACCGTTCGAGAATGTTTTCGCAACTTGAGTTGATTTTCTGTAAAGCACAGCGCGACAAAAGTTCGGCGGAAAAACACTTAAGATAGCCTGGAATCACATGGAGGCATTCCCTAGTTTCGAGCTAAAATAGGTCGAAGGAAAAGGAAAAACGACCTGAAATGACTTTATTTTCCTACTGCGAATTTTCCTGTTTTCTGTACAAGCCGGCGAGTTCGGTAGTAAAGAAAACAAACAATTCCTATTGGATGGAATAACATAAATTCATCCATGTATATCTGAGGGTAGTAGAAAAACAATACACCTCAACTCTACATCGTGTAAACTGTAAGTATGTATGTATGTGTGTATCGCACGACGATAATAATTCAAACCATTATTTTATTTGAACAACACCGGATAGTTTCGGTTGCTCGTTCAATATTCGGTTTTCCAGTACTGTGTACTTCATTTTCATGTTATAGCGAAATTTCCATTTTAGTAAATATTTATTTAGCGGATTTCTGCGAGTTTGTACACCGAAAACACGAGCCAGTAAAATGAAACTACCTACCCACATATGCTAAACGACAAGATATTACACGTCGTTAGAGTCGGCGAAATAATTGAAACAGGTATGCTAATTCGAAATTGTAACTAAACCGAAGAAAAATAACGCAAATTGTTCAATTCTGCGAATGTATCGAAAATAATTAATTTAATAAGTGCTTACCATTGTATATGTGTTTTGGAGATTGCGGCCGGTCTGGATAGGACATGTCTGGATATCCCAACGATTCATTGAAAACAAAACCAAATATTACATAAAAAAATTATAAGATACCTACCGAAATTATTATTTTTTAAAGAAGATACAGTATAATAGAATCTACAGCAATCTCTGTAGCATTGTAAGTAAATCTTCTATCTGACATATACAGGGTGACTGATTATATCTGTGCCTCTTAATAGATTCTTACTGACCTGTGTCGGTCGTTTGAAACGTGAACGCCTCAGAAATGGGACTCCAACCGAATTTGTTCCTCGCCTGAACTTTGGCTTCGTAATTTTGCCCGGATTCTAATCCTCGAATTACGTAGCTCATAGATTGAACGCCGGGAGATTGAGCCGGAGCGGCGGGCAGAATTACGTCCCTCCAATCCGTTCGCCTGTCGATGAATTGCCGCCCGTATCCGTAGCCCACGCTGTACCCCACCGAAGCGTACGTTTTATTTTCCTGGAAATTAAATAACCAAGGCAATTACCTACTGCAGATACCAGCGGATCGGTCTTGAAAAATCCGCCGCGGTGATTTGGTATTCCGTTTTCGGCGGCGGATCAAAGCCGGGAGTTATTATTACAGCTTTCATTAGAGCGGCGTGCACGCATCCCATAAGTCAGTCGATACGGAAAATAAATACCCGTCCATCGAGAATGGCTTTTAACGCTTTTGGCCGTAACCTAAAGGGAGAATTGAATTACTGTGAGGGCGGAAGCGCCGACGGGGTTGTTCGCGTTCCAGGAAAGGTTAGTTGATCACGTTTAAGTGGAACATCAGTTGCTTGTCCGGATTAATATCGGCGCGTATGTTTTTCATTCTCTTTCAACCAGATATCCCCATGCGTTTTTTTATCGGCGATATGATGGTTTTTAATGCGAACGAATTTGCATGTGGGGATAATCATCCGCTTCTCCATTAGGCACTTCTTGCCGGTAATTTGTTCTTTACGCGAATAAAACTACTAATCGGTTTTAATTCTCATTAGATTCTGGTCGTGAGATTAGTTTGGATTTCCCTGAACTAACATATTCGTTTCATCTTTCCATAAAACGCTTCCTCCGACGAAACAAATCCGCCGCTTCGCTTTTAAATATTTATACCGTTTAATTAACTCTTTAGGTTTTAGTTGCGTATTTAAAGTAATTACACTAAAACGTGTTAAATTTTATGGGAAATTAGTTGCGCCATAATTATGAAATCTCGCTTTTAATAGTTCCTGACTGGGAGATTTAATTCGTCGTGGGGCTTTCGTTCGCCCGGCAACCGGCTAACCTCTGGGTTATTATCTAATAAAGTCGTTAAAAATTCAATTTCGTTTTATCGCGAACCGGGAAACCGGAATTAGTTAACTTTAGGAAAAAAAGTAATGTATTAGATATACATGTTGATAATCTTTGAAAAAGTGGATAAATCAATCAAAATTACCTTTCCAGGGCCGAATTTTCTTTGGCTTTGGTGGTGCAGAGGTTGTGGATGTCCGTCTTCCGAATTCGTCTCCGGTAGTCTTCTAAACAGCAATTTATATTCCTCGATGGGGCTCAAAGATTCCACCGCCCAGCTGATATTGTAACTATCCTTCCAGGATCCCCTCGACGCGCTGCTAAACTTAGCAGGATTCGGTTTTCCTGTTAAAAAAATCGAAACATCGATTACGCTCGGCTAACAAACTTAAATCGGCTATCGGCTGCAATAAATCTTACCGGTTAATTGAACGCTCTTCCTGGTTTTCCCGAGCTGGTTGTCCGCCACGCAAGTGTAGTTCCCGAAGTCCGATCTGTGCACTTTGCGGATGACGAGCGTGTGGCGGGAGCCGCGCGATTCCATTATTCTCCTTTCGGTGGTGTCTAGTTGCATCGTGTCTCTGTACCACAGGACCTGGAAAACGGAGAGCTCGACAAAAAAATAAAAATAGACGAACAAACGAACGCAAAACGGGAATGACGTTCTTTCGCATCAATCAATATTAGTTTAGAAAGGCCGAAAATCGCGGTGACGGGTTTAAACTGGTCCATATAAATTGCTTTTCCGTGTCGACCTGTTACATAGTTTTCCAGATTTTTAGCTGCATCCATTTAGCCTGACAAGTTCGCAAACTTAAACTGAACCAAGGGCATTTTGCACGAAAAATTATTACAGCTTGTTGTAGATGAGACAATACGAAAAATTCAGACAAATGCTCGATTAAAACAAGGATATAATTGGTCGATTTTGTCGAGCGCCAGCGGACAAACGAATTGAATCGAGCGCGAATTACACAGCCGGTAAATAGGAAAACTCGAAAGTTTTGTTTGGTACAGGCGGGTCTTTTCAAAACAGCGATCGCAACATTAACGTAACTGAATACAGCCAATTCTGAATTTCTGAATCGCTTTCTGATTTCATTCCGAACTAAATGTACGACTGCTTGCTTTCTTTCCCCGCTAATCGATTAAGTTAACTTTATGGATGGATTTTATTCATTCGCTACCTAAGAAAGTTTGGAGTTCAAGGAGAGTGATTTGTTTATTCGTCATCGAAGAAACCTCCAAAAAAACATTAAACTTCTGAAATTACAAAAAAGGCTCCAGCACGAACCTAATATAAAATTAAAAAAACCCACTCCTGAAATTCAAAAGGAAAAAAATGACAAGCTAATTAGATTATTTTTATACTAATTCGGAATTATATCACCGGTCGGAAATAAAAGAAAAACAAACCTCTCGGCTTGTTCTTATTGACATAAGAGAGATACAAATAATTGAGAACGAACCGCTCGGAGACTAATCATCTGTCGTTTGCAAAGGCCCGACCCGAAACGGGGATAATGTCGAGTCGTTCGTCCCTGTCATAATTTTTCATCGACGAAAAAACATTTTTCCGTGGGAGTTGCGACTAAAAAGTAGCGGTCCTTCCAGTCCGTACGTTCATAATCAATCCGGACGACGGCCGTGTTCCCGACCCGGGGTAAAAATCCTTTTGTCGCCCTGGTTCCCTAATTAATTCGGAATTTATTCGCCGTTAAACTACTCTCATTGTACGGACAATACTTGTTAAATTCGACGAAAATCGGGCATCGTCGTCGCTTCATATTTTATACGTAAAGTGGAGAGAAAGTTTGTTTTTATCGATGCTACAGCGAACGTAAGCGTTGTTGGCGAATTTATGTAGCAGAGGATAGCGAATCGCTTTTTTATGTAGCATTTGTCACTCAAATCGCCTGAGCAAAAAATTACTGACACCTTATTTTTCATTATTAAATATGACTTTTTACGTTCAATTGACGAGACTTTTATAAATGAGTGGTAGATATGCTAAGGGTTGAAAGATAAAAAATAATTTAGTAAGATTCGGGTTAATCTTGCCAAGATATCACAAGTTAAAATATTGCCTAGTTTATAAATTCGAATTTTTTTTTCTACAGGTAAATGTGACAATGTCACGTTATAAATTATCTAAGTAGTTCTCCCTAGATTTATGCTCGGTTAGGTTAAATGTGTTTGCTTAGAAACTCGCTGAGTTTATCATTTTTTCCTGCTTCGCAGGATTTCAAACAAAAAAACACCCCTACGCGTTTACAAATTTTTTACCCAGTCCCGCTTCCCGATCGACAGCGATATTTTCGAATCGAACCCAGTCAGGTTATCTGCTCGAAAGTACCGACAAAAAAAGTTAAGAATAAATTAAATTTCGTCGCGTTTTCCGTCCCGCCGAGCCGGCGGTCGAAGACAAGGGAAAAAATTCCACGCAAATACAAATAAAGCGTGAAAGTTCGATATCCCGCGTCGTTCCCCTCGACGTTGATGTATCGCATCGGGTACGCAACAGTGCTCTTGTTGATATCCCGCTCTAATCTCGGCCTTGCGGGGCCCCCCGGAAAAACGCGTAAACACCGGCGTGAAAAAGCCCCCGCGATTTTCTTCTCTTCGCGTTCGAACGCCTGCCGAAGGAAAATATTAATCATTCGGTATATTTAGGCGTTCTGTCGTGTCGGAAAAACCGGCCGGAGATAAACTCGGATTAATTAAAGCCACACGGAAAATCGTAATTAAAGTAGAGTGCTCGCATGATACCCGTTTTTTTATTTTACTTTTTTGAAGTTCTATTAAGATTCACCGTTCATTAGTGTATACAGGGTTAATAATATTTCCTTATTAAGTGGAGACTGAATATTAGTTGACGCACTTTAATATCACAAAATGATTTTAAATGCATATCCTGCAAGAATTCCATTTCGAATAATACCGGAATAAAAAATTAATAAATTTGTCTTCCGTACACTAAGTGAATTACAATACCGTTAATGGACTTTCGAAAAGTACTCCAATACCCGTCGATCGATAGTCGGAAAAAGAGAACTCGCGAAGTTTTCGAATAAATATATTTCCGGGAGCGTCGCGGCGCCCCGTCGGAAAGATTTCGCGTTGTAAATTTTAATAGGCTCGCCCGTGTTTCGGAGTTCGTTAATAAGTTTGCGAGGAAGCGCGCCTCGAAATGAAGTTGCGTCGATAAGTTAATCTTCGGAAACTGAAATAAATTAGCTTTTTCCCGAACTATCCCGTTCGAGTAGTTTTCGAATTCGCCCTTCGCTCACTTTGAATTTTCGCTTCTGATTACTTATCCTACTTTCGAAGTTCACATCAAAGTCACGCTGTTTGTTTATGCAATGTACCGCAAACTCCCTAATCTGTCGAAACAATTTTATAAGTCAAGTTACCAATTGCATCATACAATATTCAGTTGGCAACCTTATATTTTTATAATTATACAACATTCTAAAAAAGCTCTATCAAAACCAAATTACAGGACCGTCGTTCAGTAATTTCGAGTAGGGTATATTTTTTTCATGAATAAATAAACCGCCGCTCCCAGAGTGAGGCCTGAAATTTTAAAATTTAAAATTGTGAAAAGTTTCATACCCTCGTACACATGCCGACTTTTGCGCGATATAAATTTCTCGGAGTCACGCGATAGGTTCATATAAATTATAAACTTTAATGCGATAAAGTAAACAAGCCGCGTTATTTATTGTTTAAATTTACAGCTTGTTTTTAGAGTTAATTAACTTTTATGCGTAATTAAAGAATAAGCGCGACAAAAGGCGCGGCGATTAATATTTTAGGTACCTATGTAAAGTGTGTTGTTTTCTATTAAAAAATAATGTTCATGTAAAAATCCTATGGGAATGATTGGCAACACCTACAAGTTGATATCCTGTTAATATAATAACTTTTTAGAATAATGTGTATTACGAATAGTAAACTGACTTTTGGATTTGTTTTTCTTGTTTAAATAAAATATATTAAAAGCGTTTTGTGTTAACGCTTCAGTGAAATCGAGACTGGAGTGCAGTAGTTACGTTTAGTTTTATAGCAGTCTAATAGAGCGGAATTTCATGGATTTTTGGATCATTATTCAATTCCAGTTCACCGACGAATACATCGTACTATTTCCTTTCCATTTATCAATTCGTTTGTGCCGAACAGGCCAATATTTAAAAGCTCTAAAAACGCCGACGGATTAAAAATTAGCGAAAAAGTCGAAGTTTACAAAGTTTTGTCTATTTCCACATATCAACTGTCAAGTATACTTTAAATCGATCATTCATGCGGGAATACCAGCATCATTTATAGGTTTTTCATTTATTCGAAAAACCAACGATATAAATGGGAAAATCTAATTAAATGTAACAAAGAGCTTTCGGGCAATATCTAAATTAAACTCGCGCTCGTCGACGAAACCTGCCCGTTTTCCAAGATTTCCATTACGTTTTAATTCATCACGAATATCCGTTTCCTAGATTCAACTTCCATAAATCATCCACTATATCTTAGAAAAACCGCCGCTCGCCTGTGTTAAATAGATAGTAGTTTTTCACACACCCGCGCAATGGCATTACGAATTTCCGCCAAAAAAGTGCAAATGCATTGCCACCAAAAAAGGCCTAATTAAAGCTCCACATTCGTTTGCAGTTCGCCCACAAAGGCAAAAGTTTTATTAACGCCTCCAGTAGACCGCTTAACTCGACGGGTCCGCGTATATCCGGAACATTATATTAAAAAAAAATACCTGCCGAACTAGCATAAATATAACTAGCGCGACCCCGCCAAAACTGAAAACGAATTTTCATTAAAAACTTTCGGTACTATTATTAACAGATTTGCGCTAAGAGCGCTCTATAGTGAAGTTGATGAACGAGCGGTTTTATTTTGACGGGCGACGTCCCGACCTACGGGAAAGTTTACATTTCCATCCTACATGTTCAGTCACATGATGAAATTTCCAGCTCGGAAGTTGGCGGAAAGTTTTCTTTTGTCCCGGCGCATCTACCTAGGTATTTTACTTAAACAAACGCGCCGGCCCGAATAATTCCCTACATTATTAGGACATCAGAGAGATGTGATATTTAATGAGCTGTCTCGGATAAATTGTAGATTTAAATGGGATGTTTTTCTTACGATATTAAAAGCTATTCCTGCTGAAACTTCTACTATAGAAAAACTCACTTTAGCACAAAATATTTAATTTTCAGTGTACGAATTAATCGTCCAATATGCTAAAACTGTAGTTTTAGCATGTAAAAATTTAAAAATTTATAAATTTCCTAATTATTAAAAAATTGTAGTGATCGATTGGGGATTGCTGTGATACTTTTTTTAAACATTGAAAAACGAACGGGGACATTTTTATTCCGATTTTATTCAGATTACTGCAGATGAAACAAATTCGTTTCGGCGAAATTCGAAAACATCATTAAAATTTTAAATAAAACAGCAATTTTGTAGCGTGCGCATTACGGATCGTCGTTTATTGAAAAACTTTTAGTTTGATTAGCGATTTCGAAATATGAAAACAAGCGGATTTTCCGTCGGTTGCATAACGATGAGGCTCATGCAAGTGAAATTCACTGTTGCTTATAAACCGGGTCTTTGAAAGCGCAGTTTCGGGAAATGTAATACTTTACATTTTAGCCGAAAGAATTCATTACCTGTTTTGGAAAAATAACGAAATCAATTCGAGTCGTCGTCGCGCTGAAACGGCTCAACGCCCGAGCGCCGTAAGTATGCAAATTCGCCATATTTCTCCGGTATTAGGTTACATTTCGCCGTGAAAATAGTGTTACGTTTCTCATGTAAATATTTTCTTAATTTTCTAAAATAATATTTCTCTTTCTGGAATTTCCCGCGTCGAAAGTCCTACACACTATACTTTTTTCTGAACGATGAAAATTCTTTGAAGGTAATATTTACGGAGCTACTTTTCCGCCTGTTTTATTAAATAGAAAGATGCATTACATCTAATATATTTCTGCAGGAGAAAATCTTGTTACGAGGAGCTGTCGTAAAATTATTAAAATACTTCTTCAGCAAAAATAAATAGACCGCGCATAACGTATATAAAATACTAAACGAATACAAACTGAATTTCACTCGTAATTCCTCAGTTAAAAATATTCATTAAGCGACGTGAAATTTGCTCAATTTTCGAAATTCCATTAAATATACAACAACATTCGCGATTCCAGTTTCAGCGCTCCCTGCGAAGCGGCGCGACTTACCCTTTGTGTCTAATTAAAATTTCCCTTTTTAGTAAGGCGATACCATAGTATGTTTGGAACATCGACAGTTATAAAAGAGATAAATAATTGCGCGAGCGGCTCCGCAAACACCAAACAAAAATATCCAAATTCGAGCCGACTGAATAAGAAAAGCGTTTTTTCGCCGTCGGAGTTGCTTGTTGTTGTTAAAAAGCTCGAAGCGAATCGTCGTCACTCTTTCCGACAACCCTTACGAAGACAATTAGAACAAGAAAACAGCTGGCAATTTAAAAAACAATCAGCGAAACGATTAAGAAAGGGGTCGGGAAGTACGTGCAAAATGGTGTGACAAAACAATGGAAACCCCCGGGCTACAAAAACATCGCCTTTCCACTCATCACACGCGGTCCTAATTCATCATCCACATGGACAATATCCCTCGAGGTTTTTACTCACTATAATTCCTACTATCTCAGAAGGATCTCCAAGCTGACTCAATGAAATCAAATTTAAAAAAAACAGTCTGATTGTAATGAAATTGTTCAAATTTACCATCAACATTATAATTTAATGAGTACACGTGGGTGGGACAGTTTGATTTGAACGTGTTGAATCGGATCACAGTGCTTCTTGTTTTCTTCTAGCATTCAAATGCAAAGGAAGAACTTTCCGAGTGCGGTGAGCTTTATTCGATTTTCAAATGCGGAAAAATATGGGTGAATAAATAGGAGCAAAGGAAGATCGGTCGAGTTTATTCCCCGTTAAGAAACTCAATCGATGGCGGATTTTCTATCACATAATGTGCTTACCGACTGCTTTATTCGCTGATGATCAGTTCGGTAAAAGAATATTCTAAAGCTCAGTGTTATATACAAGGTGGTTGACTTTTGTGTAAAACAAAAAATTATTTACTACTGTATATGTAAAATGAATACTTTTTGAAGTATTCTCTTTTTGTCCGTAGCCTGGAAATATAAAAAAAAATCTTCTCTTTTCTTTCATTATCCTTTAGCCCAATATTTTATATCCTAATAAGAGACTTCCCCCAAATTCCGTCAGTCAAATATTTTACCATAATTTTCATGTAATCCTACGGCCCGATGTAAAATTCCCTATTTTACGTCTGCCACTCGAGCTTTCCTCTCGTCTTGTCAGTGGAAAAAGGAGATTTAAATCCTGTTATCGAAAGCCCGGTGTAAAAAAAAACGCTGACTCTATAATACAAAGCCAGTACGAAAACTTCCCCACATAAAATCGAACGAAAGTGTTTACTTTCTATTATAATTTTATTCAACATTCATACGAGGCGATTCGGAGGAGTTCGTTAAAATGAACACTCGCATGCGAAACGCCTAAAAATACAACGATTTCAAAAACGGGAGAAGCCAAACGAACCATTCATGCATGAGACGTCAATTCCTTTTAAAAGTAACTGTTGTTGTTTATTTCTGGCCCGATCCGAAAACTCTAAAAAAAAACAAAACATCCATCATCAATTTTCGCATGCGGCGATCGCTCCTTTTCAAAAAAAAAATCCAACCATGCGAGCTAAGAGGGCATCGAGCGAACGCGCGAAGAAAGCCCGTCCGAACCGGGAAAGTCGCTCCTCGAAAAGCCGACAATGCCTTTTTCTCTCTGTCGACTCCCTGTAAATTATGACGTTTATACATAAACCCTATTTTCCCTTTCATTTCTCATCGCCTTCAACGTAAATAACACGGTGACGGGTTCGCGCGCCTTCTCCCGTATGTTATTTACATCTGTCCGGATTCCGTCGGTTCTTTGTCATGTGATTTTTTATCCTTGCTCGTAAAGTAGTTTAAAAACTGTAACACTTTTATACAGTCGAGTTCCACTATAAAAAACACAACAGAAAAGCTTCCAATGCCGCTTATTGTATGTACATGCTAAATTATTAATAATATTAAGAATTAACAAACTAATCAATTACATACATAAATATTTTTAAAAAGCTTTTCTCAACTTAGTAAGTTCTTGAAACTACTAATGCATTTTTCATACAATTGAGCTGAATTTCATGAAGAGCGGGAAAATTTTATTAGGTTAGTCTGCAATTTATGGGATTAAAATAAATAATTTATTGCGATTTCGCATTCGACGGGGCAATAATTTTCGGAAAAAATCATCGCAAAATCCAATATATCATCCATTTTTGTGGTCGAAATGAAATGCAAACAATTTACGCGAACTGGCCATGGAAACGTGGAGCAATTTACCGGTTGCAGCATTTTAAAAATACGAGATTTTATTTGGACGAGAATTTTTACGAGCAGTTTAAGACATAAAAAAATAACTCGCGCAAAAAACTCTCCGGCGGTTTACTCTTTTTCCTTTCTGCAAATATCAATTAACGAGTGAAAATACTCCGGATAACGCACGATAATATTCGAAATTGAGATCCTCCAGTGCGGAAATTGAAAATTTACAAAGCGCCATTTGTAGCCATTTGAAACGCACATCCAGATTATCCAGTTTTACCTGCTCGCTTGCAAATCGGGATACCTTTTTGTGCGAAATCGCTGGACAAACAAATCACCAAATCGAAACAACACAAAAACGATCGCACTTCCAAAATACCAAATACTTTCACGCAAAAATTCCAAACTATGTAAACTTCGTATAGTAGTTATTACAAGCTTTTGTAATAGTGGGGTAAAAATTATAGTATTCTAGTCACGCGTGATGTATATCGATTCATTGAGTTATTCAATATATGGCAGTAGTTTTACAACTCGCCCAATCTCGTTAGACGGAGTGAGTGGCATTTGATGCGTCTCATCACTTCGGATTCGTGCATATTTAACCAGGGAGAAACCGTCCGGGGTTATCGCGGCAAATTCGCCTATTCAATAATTTAGTTACGCGTGCAATTTCATTACGAATTGAAGTTCGCGTCGGAGCCGTCGCGACGCCGTCGAGGTCCGGACGAAGGAGGCGATTGGGTCGCTTTTACGGAGATGGTCCCGGAGCGCGTCGCAACTTCAGACGGAATGAATAAATTATCTACAAGGGAGCACTTGTATTTCGGCATTTTGCATTCAATCTCTGCTCGTTGTTTTTTTCCTCCTTCTTACTTTCGACGGGGGTTTTTTCCTTCTCATTGTTTCCATTCCCGCTTTTTTTTTTCGCTGAATAATGGAAGGTGTTTCGAATAGAAATTCGGTTTAGATTGCGTTTTCTATCGAATTGGAAATTGCTTCCGGTTCTAGTGTAATTTAATGCTGGCGTATATTTGAATTGGAATACTATATCTAAGAATTTGATCGGTCGTGTTGACTTTAAACCTATTTTACCTATCAAATAAAAAAATAAACAATTCACCGTTATTACCCGAAAGGTCTTAAAAGAACGGTAATCGATAATCGAGCGTTAAATAAGTGAATGACTTCGGTACATTCCCTAAACAACAGTCTCCAGAGATCATCGATTGTCCCAATTCTACTTTTGGGCTTTCCACAGTTTGACCTCGAAATGGCAAAACGCCCCCCAAGTCGCGCGTTTAAAGGAATAGCAGAGCAGGTGGTTTTCGTGTTGATTTCGATACGTCAGTAATCCGAACGGCGGGAAAAACTCATTTTTTAGGACCCTTCCGGAAGAGCACGGGGCGCCGGAATGATAGAAACTTGACTGACAAATCGTCGGATTTTCGAAACGTCGGAATTGAAATTTTATCATATTGATTTTACTCGAGAAATTTACATAAGTTCAAACGGCACACGTTTTACAATCGATGACAATCCGCCAGAAAAGGGTAGAAAAATATGAGATATGAACGACAACAGCGCGGATACGAAATCAAAACATAATAGATATTTAAAGATTTATGTTTATTGTGTTAAAGAGTTATATTATAGTGGGTTTAGATATATCCTTTTTGGTCTAAAACCCGGCAGATTTAAATTGATTATAGGGAATGTTCTATTAACAATTCGCTTAATGACATCAACCGCACTGTTTAGCCTTGAGATGAGGGTGTTTTTAATCTTTATCGGATTGAATCGGGAAAGATGTTTTGGTGATAGGGTCCCAAAAATCTCATGGTTTTAGCGACACGCGGTCGAGGAACGGTCCTTTTGTTCGAGCCCAATGCCTCGTGAAACCCTCGACCGCGAATTTCAGGTGACCGGCTGGCCGCAATTTTCGTTAGGCAAAATCGGGGATAAAATACGCCGTTTCACTTACTTCTGGTTGACTTTCTCCGTGTACGATGCAGACGAGCTGGGCCTCGAAGCCTTCCGCAGAGTGAACGACGGGTCTCTCCACCGAGATTTCGGGCGGATCTGAAACAGAACAACGGGCGAATTGAATTATGTTTTTCGAACTAATGGCCTCGACGTCTTTTTCAGCGGTATCCCTACGTCAGGATAGCCGCTGAATAGGTTTCTATGCCGCCCACGAACATTTCATTATACTAATAGCTGTCTAGGAAAATCCAGCTTTTCCCGAAATTATTTCATTTCATTATATCGCCTACATATTAGTTTAGTATCCTCACTAAAACTGTTCTATGATGCCACAAGTTTACATATTTACAGCCTTGCCAGAATGCCAGAATGACTTTCTTCCACGTTCTATTATTTACATAATTTTACATTTAAACCCAGACTATTTTCTTTAACACAATTCTACTTAGGTACATAAAACGTTGTAAGAAAAGTTTAATTGTTTCCAACTGCGAAATTTCCAATTCGAGCAGAATCAAACGAGTCAATTAAGCAACAGCAATAGAACTTTCATTACGAATGGCATAATAATTAACCAATCAATATCGATAAGAAGGGAACGCAAAAAGAAGCCTTTTCAACTTGTTTTCCTGATATTTTTTCGAATTACCATAAACAATGAAATAAAAACGTCTTAAACTTCGTAACGAGTCGATGAATAAAAGTTTCTCGGTGCTTTCAAAGAGCCAAGGAAACTCGCTCTTGATGCGGCCGCACAACGGGAATAATAATTAAATCATGGACGATTATTATTCGTTCTATTATTTATTTTTCCCCTGGCCGTCGACTAAATAAAGCGAGCGGAGTCGAGTGGAAGGGAGACGAAGGGCCGAAACCATCAATTCAGAATCTTATCAGCAATTTTAAGAGGATAATGTTCTAATATATTTCCACTCTTTTGTGTATGTTTCGCAGAAAGATACCCCGGTGAATGGGTTGGTACACGTAAGAGGATATCATGCGCTTAAACATAAAAGAACCGCGATCGTAGATTAGTCGTTTGAAGGGCCAAATTTTATCAACAGCTTTCCTACACATATATCTTTATACAACGTATACAAAAGAAGATTAAATCACTCGAATGTTTTTGAACAACGCACAGAGTACTTGCGCGTACACGCGTATACAATTTTCTATTGGTATTTTAGTAGGTATTCAAATGAATTTTTATTATACAGTTAATTAACCCTACCTCTATAAGAAAAGTTAACAATGTTATCTTTAATAGGAGTAGTACAATAAGTACTCTATATCTATATACTTTTTATTGTGTAGTAATGGATAAAAATTACAGCATGTAATTGCACGCTCGTTTACTGAATGATACGTAATGATCGCGAAACGCCGGTTCACCCACTCGTTTTTTTTTTTCTTAGAAAATTAGGAACTGCGAAAGTTTCCAGTTCCGGAAACCTGGTAAATCATATTAACGGTCCAACTCTTAGTTACTCTAACCATCTTATAAGAAAACTTTTAAGGGTCATTAAGCGACGTATATACGAGGAATTGTAATGATTTTACCCGGAAACGCACGAAGCTTCTAATTTCGTGCGGTTAATTTGTCGCGAATGAAAAATTGCGAAAAATTTGATTAGGGATCGGCGTTAACAAAAGGTTACACGGCGAGAATATCGTTAGTCCTTCCGTTTAGCGGAGCTCACGGTTGAAGGGGCGCGCCGTCCCGGCATTAGCGAAATAGAAACACAAAGTCCGGAAAGTCCGGTTAATCTTCCGCTTGTTTAAACTCCATCGGTCTCTTCTCTTCCGCCTAGGTACAATTCGAACGTTCGATAGTTCTCGAAGATGATTACTTACTTTTTCGATGAGTTTCGAAACGCGTTTAAATCTTTTTCAACGGGAAGTGGATTTCTCATTCAGAGAAGATATTACGGGCAAGATTGTTTCCCAAGGATTTGTAACGTACCGGAAAAAGTAGAAGGAGAATAAACGAAATGAAGTTACGTACCTACGGGATTTCATTTTCAACCGAACGCTTTATTCAGCTAAATTGGAAAATGGTTATTTCACCTCGGAGACGTCGGATATAATTGCTAATTAATATTGATATTCCTTAAGAATATATATTACATTTTTTCTTGATTTCATTAATGTTATCCCTTCAGTAATAACTAAAGTTAAAGCCAACACGAAACTTTCAGTTGCCAATTAATTAAACACAACCATTACCTACAATCTATTTCGATATAAAAGCAAAGGTGCACTTAGAGTTTTAATCGTAGTTTTTTTTGTACTTTCGTAGATTTAAATCCGACACGAGTTGAATACGGTCGTACACTTAAGAGCTATTAAAGGGAAAATAAATACTAATTTATACCGACTGTAATACGTTGTTCGCATTATCCAAAACTTGTATAATAAATAACGCATAGTGAGTGTTAATTTAATAGGGTATAATAAGGATGCAGGAGCAGATTTACGCCGGGCGAGGACATTATTTATGTTCATTGCCGTGCAATGTAATTAATATTATCTTAAAATTGTTGGGGATCTTTAGTCTTATTTGCACTTGGGTACTAGCAAAGCGAATTGCTCCGAAGGGTGGTTTGGGATAAGGTAACAGTAACAATATATGTACATGTGGAGTCCTGATGATAAGAAAGTTTATCTTATATATTTTTGATAGAGAATTCTTCTACTTGTATGTTTGAATGTAAAACAATCCCGTAGGTTTTTTACTTATTATTTTAGGACATCATACCTAGGGCTATTTTTTCATCAGATATTGGTCATTTGTGTTGTCGTTAACTGTAATATACGAGACAGTTTATTAAAATAGATTATTTTTAGAAATTAGAGATAATGATACAGTAGCATGTTATAGAGTTATTAGTTTATAGTATAATTTTTCCTCGTTATATATACACAATTTCGTGAATATTCTAATAGAACTATAAGTTCATTTATCTTAATGAGAACAAAGGTAAACCAAATTATTTATATCGTGTGGAGATCTCAAAAAATCCAAACGAATGTGAGTATTTCCATATAATTTTTACAAGACTACTTTTTTTTAGTTTGTCTTTCACGGAGCGCATCGATGCGAAGATTTACGGTTTCAATTATTCTCCATTACGTAACGTTTAAAGCCCAACAGAAGCTCATCAATTTTTCGACCGGTTCGTTAGCGTGAGCAGAGCGTTGCCCCATAAATAAAAAATTGATGTTCCATTTCGTGTTTTCCCCTCTGTCTATCCTCTCTCATATATTTCGAGAAAGGCTCGTCCGCCGAGACCCCCATAACAGGAGCGCTGCCGGTCGTACGTTAGACCTAATCACGATAACCGTACTGTATTTGTTGAATATTTCGAGGTGGAAGTCGAGTACCTACCCGGGGATATATATACGCCGTGGAAGCGCGATCGAGCACTCGACGTGGACGAGCTTATATCGAGCTAATCGCCGCCCCGGGGAGCGGTTAGTTTGCGATACTCCCGACGCCTGTAAAAACCTTCCTGATTTATAACTCTCTTGCGGAGCGAACGTTCTAACTGGCCTTCCTGTTCCGCACGCCCAGGTATAACCCGAAAGCTCTCCCGGCCGGCTGCGCCCTTACTGACTTACGATCGGAAACCCGGCGATTTATCATGCGGACTTAAGTGATTCTGATTGAAAAATCCTTCATAAACTATAATTACGCGCCCGTCTCACGTATCCACCCTGCCCCTTAGATATATCTACACTTTTCATTTTTTTACCACAACGCTCCTGATTTACCATCGTTCATAATTTTAACACGTTACAATACTAAAAATTTATTGTAAATTTAAGTATATTTGAAAGCCAAGTGAACTGCTCAACAGTCGAGCTCCGACTGGTTCAAACTGATTACTATTTTACTGGCTAGTACGCATTATAATTGCGCAGACTACGCCTATTTTACAGCTACAGAACGACATAAATAGCTGCAGACGTGAACATGTTCACAGCTATTAAGAAAATTGCGCAGATCAATTATTTTCGACATTATTATGGCAGTTATTAGATTTAAATCCAGTTTTCAACTAGTTAGAGAATTATTTTAAAACGGTAACCCGTAGCGAGTTAAGTAGATATTAAGCGTGGTTGATGTGCAATAAAATATATTAAAACTAAACTCCCTTTTTCGGTCGGGGTCCATTCAGCGGGAATGGCAACTTTTGAAGTATAATGCTTCACCGAGTTAACTGCGATATTCGATTAACTCGAACGTCCTTTTATATATAAGTCGAAGTAAATGACAAATTTTCTTGATTTTCCCCGTTTCTTTGAAGCTATATAACGCACTCGTTCCCCGTAATAAATTTTACCTAAAAAGCGTTTGCGCGAAAGTCAACAGATGGCTTCAAAAAAAAATTGCCCGGAGATCGTTGTTTGATGAAAAAGGAAAAATACGTAATTAATTTTTGTTTACTGCTCGACGAATCGAATGGGTTTTCGCGTTTCGCTTTTAAAATCGCGCGTTTTTAAAAAAATCGAAATTTTCGGTTATTTTGCATAAGAGCCGTACATAAAGGCGGATTCTCTCTTAGTGTGCGAAACGAAACCGGGAGAGCTTTGTTGTCGTAAAATTCATAAAACATTCACCTATCCGACGGATCCTAAAGACTCATATTTCAGTCGACCTTCTATTATACTCGGAAAACTCGGCGAATTTTGAAAAGTTCGTCATCCAAAGGCGGCACTCCCTATAATTCAGACTTCCCATCAAACAATATATAAGACGCTCCTTAACCCGTCGGCCTTTTTATTATACTAGACTCGATAAATAATTAAAAGCGAACTTCCTTAACGAAAGTTTGATTCACTACATACAATTCCGTCCGGAGAATTGAATTTTGCAACTTCCCTATCAGCCACCTATCCCGCCCTCCTTTATAATTAATTACGCTAAGGCGATATTGGCGTTAATTATACCGTTAATCATTGCAAGAACGAAACGTCGAGAAATAATTTATGTAAACCTTAATGAAGAGTAAATAATCCGAAACTTTCGGTAATTGTGTAATTTCGAAAGAGGAAAGTTTGTTTGCCTTCCTTATGAACTGAAAATTCGTTAT